ACCCTTCGGGAATGGCTGGGCGAAGCTGGGGGGCTCATTCTCTCCATTTTTCCTGACCTGTCTCTCTCTGTTCCAACACATTTTAACCGCTCCAGCGGGTTCCCAGGGAACCTCGCTTGTCCATTCTGCTGCTGTCCTCTCAGAAACCAGTGGGCCTGTCAATTGGAACAGGTCAGAACAGCTAAGACTGTTATGTTCTAACAGTGAAAACAGATTCCTTCGCAAGCCCATCAGGGTCCTGGAGAAGGGCAGGGAAGTCATTAGATTGCTTAATTCCCTTGTAGTCCAAGGAATGTACACAATCGCTCGGCTACCCCGCTGCCTGAGACGGGCTATTCTCCGAAGGGAGCTGCCAGAATTTCGGGTTGTTTTTTCTCCCCCAGCCTATCCCGGTCTGGCTCTCTATTCTGAGTGTCCCCTAGGTCAGTAGGGAGCTGTGGTGGAAGAGGTGAAGCGGGGAGAGAGAGCGCGCGCGGAGGGGAGGAGGAAAGGAACGTCCAGACAGGAAGCAGAGGGCCGGGCGGGCTACCGAGGAGTGGGGAGTGAGGTGTCCGCACGGAGGCGCTGCGGGAACCTCCCTTAGTTCGGGGACAGTCTCTAAAACTTTCTTGTTCACTTCCTGGAGAGAGCTTCTCCCTGTGCTGTTTCAGAGGCTTCTATTTGCCAGCTGTGATGAGCGCCCCATTAACGTCATTTCACTCTAGAAGGTGGCTTTTTCGTCCCCTGTGGTGCACGCCCCCCGCCCGCCCCGCCCCCGCCACAAATTAATTAATTAAAAAAATTAAAGTTAGCTGTCTCAAGAACTCCATTTAGGGCATCTTACGTTATCACTTCTGGTTAAGTCTTCCCATTTCTACAAGTCCTCGTGTTGCCGGGGCGGGGCCTGGCCCGGAGCGGGTCTGCCCGTGGCCGGCTGCTGCACACGGGTTCCCCGCTTCGGGCAGGGAAGATGTCACAGCGCGAGTCCAGGGGACCGTGAGGGGACGTTTGTTAAAGCCGGTTCAGTGAAACAAGGAAGGGCCTAGCACAGAAGAAGCAACAGGAGGGCCGAGGCAGGGCTGCCTTGGCTCTCTGGGAATGTCCTGAGCCCCGGCGGGGCAGCTTTAGCCTCTAGAAGTCAGAGGAAAGAAGCCTTGGGGACAGGTTCAGGGGGTTGTGCCCGGGACAAACTGTTGCAGCCTCAGTTACAAGGCTCATGGGGTCCCCCAGAGTTTAGGGGGTGCGTGTCTGTGGCACAGGTGAAGGGAGGGCAGCGGGGGGAAGGCACGGGTCCTGCATCCTCAAACCTTTTAAGGGCAGAGGTCTCAGGGGGGCTCCGGGGGAGGGTCTCAGCAGAAGAGCCATCAGCTTCCCAGGTGTGTCCTCTCAGGGCCCTGGGCTCACAGCTGGCTGGCACCAGGGCAGGGGGTCGGCCGTCCACGCAGCGGCCCCAAGGCTACGGTAGTGTCGCTCGTCCGGTTTTGCTGCTTTTCTGGGCCCGGAGCTGAAACACGACCAAGGCCTAACGTCACTCCCAGGGAGGAAAGGCCGGGTGGGGGAGGTCCCCGGGGGAGATCCCGGGCCCGCCAGCTTCGCCCTCGCCAGGCCCTTGGGCCTGCCACCCTGGCCACCTTCTGCACCTGCCTGTAAGTTGCTCAGCCAGTTCATTCAGCTCTCTGCCTCAGTTTCCCCACTCCGCTTGCCAAGGAATTTTCCTAAGTCCGCACGGTCCTGCCTCACTTGCAAGACCAGGCTCCCTGCGATTCTCTATCTCCAGGAGCGTTGTGGGGACTAAGGGCTGGGGCACCCCCATGCCGATTAATTTCTTAATTTGGGGGCTTCCCATGTTAATTTTAGATTCCTTTGGGGATCTGCAGAGTCTGAGCGCATTTCTAGGGATACTGGGGAGTGGGTTGGAGGGTGCTGCTTACGGGCTGAGCGCCACTTCTCAAGTCGCTGCAGCCCCCCATGTGCCTCGGTTTCCCTCCCGGGCTGTCTAACACAATGGGAGGGCTCGGAGCACAGGGTGCCAGCCTCCGTGTGCGTGTCCCCAGGTGAGCCAATTCATTAGAGCTGTGTTGAAATTCCCTATGGGGCCCGGCTTATTTGGAGGGATGCTCTCAAACATCTCCGTATAGATTCTTAGCCACCTAAGCATATCTGAAATTCCACCTGCACAAAGAAGATGGCCCTTATTTTCGAAGCCAAATGAGTTCAGACTCTCAGCAAACTACTCACAGCAAGCAGTTCCAACTGAATAGCCAAAATGAAAGACTAGCCAGGTACCCTCCCCCAACCCTGAGTTAGCTTGGCCCTTAATCGTTAGCGCCCTCCTAAGGATTTCTTTTTTTTTTTTTTTTTTTTTTTTAAGAACAGGTCAAATAAAGTCAGAGCCTCCTACCTTAAAACAGGGAGGTGAGAATTCCAAGAAAAACTCACCAAAGTTACTCGGTATAAATCAGGGAGTGACTGAGGTACAATGGGCTTCCACTGGTACCTAGAACCACGCCCCACTCCACAGCATATCCTGGGTGGGCTTCTCTGGAATCCTGCTGACTACACCAAACAAAGGTTGAGGTAAGAACATCCAGCCTAAGGAAAAGTCTCATAGGAGTGTATTTGAGCCAAACTGAAGACAATTACCTGGAAGCAAATCTCGAAGGACTGAAAAAATACTCCAAAGAAAGGCAGGGTTACAGCTTATTTTATACCCTGGAATCAAAGGAGCAGATGTAAGGAGGGTTCCATGACATCCACTGGTGGCAGATTAGGGAGGGGGGAGAAAGCAAAGGAGGAAATCTCTGGGACTGAATAAAAAGTAAAACAGAGCGACACAGCCCTCTTTTACATCGGTGGGTACAGGGTAGTTACTAATGAACATTTACAGCTCATAGCAACAGCATTCGGGGGGAAAAGGTAACAATGAGGGACCCTGCGGTTTCCAGCTACGGCGACGTGGCGGTGCCCTAAGCAGTCTGGAAAAGGAGATTTCAAAGGTATGATTTCTTAGATGCAAAAAGACCATAGACAGGCTCACTTACAGTAAAGAATGACCCTTGTTGAGGAACATACAGGCCTAGGACGGGACTACCCACCGCGACCCACTTTCAGTTAGGAAGTTTTATGTTCAGACCATCCTATGTATCTAGTTTTGGTCTCCGAGTTTGCCAGGCTGCTATGCAGGCCTCCCCTGAGCTCGTCAGGGTTAGTATGTGGCCCCTTTTTCATCCACAGAGGCAGGTGATGCAAATGAGCAAAGCTGAGCTGAGCTAGTCACATGCAAGGCAATAGAGAACAGTGGGGACAGTGGCAAACCAAAGTCCTTGCCTCATCTAAAGGGAGCTGCTGCTATGTAGCTTCCCTTGAATTGTTGCCATGTGGAAATTGGTACCCAGGATTGCCAGAGCTTTGGGAATTTCTAAAAAAAAAATCCCCAAAAGTCAGATTTTTACATGAAGTTTCCCAAGTTTCAAGAGGCTTTGCAGGGCGGATTCAGCCCGCAGGCCACGAGTTTGCAAGCCCTGCCGTAGTGAGACAACTTTTTCCGTTTTCACTCCCAGCTCTGGCCTCTCCAGCTTGGCTCTCGGATTCTCCAACAGGCCGTGGCCATGAACCAGCTGGGGCCCAGCCAAAAGGCAGCCCTCCTCCCCACTGACCTCAGACGCACCCTCCCCTGGAGACCCAAGGCTTCACCCAGGGTCAGGCTGACCACCTCCCTCCTGCAGGGCAAAGGCCCCCCCACGGGGCTCCTTGCAGCCTGACTTCTGGCCCTGGCCGGCCAGCAACCTGTGCCTGCCAAGCAAGCCGGTACTTGTCCTAAACTCAGTGACATCCAAGTCCGGAGGCTTTTTCCGCTCTTCAGATAAAGACCAGACTCATCACCATGACCCTCAAGGCCCTCAAAGGCAGATGGTTGCTGACTCTGTCAGCCCATAACTTTGCTCCTCACATTGGTCCCTGGCTGGTCCCCCGCCCCCTACTGTCCTCAGGCAGAGGGATCTTCCTCCTCCCCGCTTGCTGTCTTTCGCATCTCGCTGTCTTTCATCTCTGGACCTCTGTATATGTGGCCTTAAACCATGCCTGAAACATCCTTCCCAGCCCACCCACCTCCACACAACACTCTTTTGTCTTGTAGCTCTTCAGGTCTCTACTTAGAAGTGACTTCCTCCAGGAAGCCTTCCCTGCCCATCTGCATTAGTTTAGAGACTGAGGTCAGCTGTTCCCACAGATGCAGGGAGTTCCCCATTAGTGCTTAGCACTTAATCAGTTCTCTGTCCTGAGAACGTGAGGGGACATTCCTCAGGGACACTGACCAGGAATTGTGTTTCCAAGTGTGCATCTGGCACCCAGGATAATGCCCATGGCCAAGGAAGTGCTTAAATATTTGCAGAAGGGGGAAAAGGAAAGAAGGAAGGGAAGGGAAAGGAAGGGAAGGAAAGGAAGACAGGGAGGAGGGAGGGAGGGGGGAAGGAAGGAAGGAAGGATGGAGAGGAGGAAGGAAGGAAGGACGGGAGGGAAGGAAAGGAAAAAGACAAGGAGGAAGGAAGGACCCTCCACTTTGTTTCCGTCTCTCTTTCCATTCTGAGCCTCTGTCTCATTGCTCTCTGTCTGCACCTAAAGCATCCACAATCTCTTGCTCTAACACTCTGTAACGTGGCCGATGTGTTTCTGACCCTTCCTCGGCATCTCTGACCCAGGTCTCCGGGAGTGCAGACAGCCCTGCCCCTGGGCGTCCCTCCAGGAACCGCTGCTCTCCAACCTCAGGACATCACGAGTCTACCGTGGTCGCGCCAGATGTTTCCCCTCGGGGGTCCTTCAGCTTTGTGCCGGATTGGGGGGCAGGGGTAGCAAGGTCGCGCGCTGTCGGCGCCCGGAGAGGCCTGGAGCCGCGGCAGGGGAAAGGGGCGGGGAAAGGAAAAGAGGAGGGGGCCGAGAGGGGCGGAGAGAGGCGGGCCTGAGCGCACCGCCCCATCCCCGCCCCCCACCCCCCAGCCCCCAACTCCCTGCACTGCCAGCGCCCTCCCAGCCCAGCCGGCCACATCTGGCGGCTGCCCTCCCTTGTTTCCGCTACATGCAGACTTCCTTCGGCGCTGCCTGGAGGCTGGGCATCTGGGGCTTTAAAGATACAAAGGGACTCCAGGATCAGCGAGCACAGGCGGCGGCGGCGCGGTCTGGAGCGCGGTGTTCCGACCATGAGCCGCTGAGCCGGGCAAAGCCGAGGCCACCGAGTCGTGCGGTCCCTTGGAGCGCACCGCTGCGCGGCGGAGCAAGCGCCAGCCAGGCGGCGACGCGGCCACACGCACCGAGCCAGCGACCCCCGGGGCGACGCGCCGGGCCCGGGAGCGCAATGACCGAGGCGCTAGTGGCCTGGGGCGCTCTCGCCGGCCCCCTGCGGGTGCTCTGCGTCCTGGGCTGCCTGTTGGGCCGCGCCGCCGCCCCGCCATCGCCCATCATCAAATTCCCTGGTGATGTCGCCCCCAAATCGGACAAAGAGGTGGCTTTGGTGAGTCGCTCCATGGGCTTCAATGATCCAAGTTTAAACAAACTTCTTAGGCAGAGGTTGGTGGTCTCCTCGCCACACCTCCCCTCGACCCCAGGGCGCACACAACGTGGGGGAGGGGCTTCAGTAAACGCGTAACGGGAGCCTTTGGCCAGCGGGAGACGGGGTCTGTTTTGGAAACCGTGGGGGGTGCTTTGTGAGTGGAGAAGGCTTTTGATAAACAACTTGGAAACTTTACGGACACGGCAGGGGTGCGAGAAACAAGCCGAGGAGGGTGAGGGGGTGCTTTGGCACACACGCTGGAAAGGGCCTCTCCTAAATAACAAGGACACTGTCTAGAATGCGAAGGATTTGGCAAGAGGGCGGCTTTGTGAACAACTTTTGGACACATCTGGGAGGTTGGCTAACAGGGCCCTTGGCAAAATGCCTCAGGGGGTCCCTTTTGCTAGCGGTGGGGGATCTTCGTAAACGGCGGTGGCGCTTTGGGAAGGGGCTCCCGTGGCACACGATTTGGGGAAACTCTTGCACACAGTAGTTCGGGCGCTCCGAGCCAAGCGGGACTTGGCAAACATCTGGGAATCTTTGGCACCTACCTAGAGAGAGTCCTTGAACAAACCATTCGAGGGGAACTTTAGGCAAATATTTGGGGCAAGTGTGGAGCCGAGAGCGCATCTTTGTCGCCTGGCCCAATGGGTAAGGTGGCCAGAAGGTCGGATTCCGGAAAGTTTCCTAGAACTTCTGCAAAGGGATCGGAGGACAGGAGAGAGGTGGCCGCGGGGCGGAGGAAGGGGCAGGCGCAGGAGGCCCGGCGCGTGGGGCGGGGGCGGGTGGGAGAGTGGCCAGCGAGCCCTCCCTCCTGGCGGGCCTCCAGCTGCGGCTCCGATGTTGTTCTGTGAGCGCCGCCTGGCTCGAGGGGCTCCCTGGGCGCAGCGTTGTACAGGCGGGCTGGGAGCAACGGAGGGGCATTACCCCATATCCTGCCAGCACCCCTAGCCTGCAGACCCCTCAAGATGTTCCTTCAAGCCCACATGAAATCTGCCCCCTTATAGCTTTGCCTAATCCCCGCCCCCTAAATCCTGTTCTCCTTCAGCCTGGCCTCCTCCTAAGAAAGGACAGCCATGCCCGCTGGTCACCCTGGAAGTCCCTTTTCAGGGTGTGACACTGCCCCCCACCCCATCCCAGCCTCTAAGCCTCTGACCCTCTGGATAAATAAATTGGAAGACCTTCCATTTTGGGAGACTACTGTTGTTTCTCAAGGGTCTGACGCTGGCTGGCCTCCCGATGTGGCTGTTAGCTGAGGGTGAGATCGGAGCTTTGGAGCTTGGAGCCTTGACAGAGCCTCCTGGGCCGCGCACCTCCCACACGGGAAGCACGGAGAAGTTTGTGGAGCCCGGGGCAATGCAGTGGGAGGCCTGAGAAGCAGGCCCAGGGCTCTGACTGCCTGGCTTCAAATCTCAGCAGCGCACTAACCAGCTGGCTGAGTCACTTAACCTCTCAGGTTCAGCTTCTTCTGGAAACTGAAGATAATGATGGTCCCTGTCTGAGACGTTTTGAAGTGGCGCGGGGTGAGCACTCAGTGTTACTCATCATTCATCATTTTTATCATACCCTGTATTTTTCTTTTCCGGACATCCCTCCAAACAAGGTTAGGAGCCCTATGGTAAGGTCTCCTGCCTCCCCTCACTATTCCAACGCAGCACCCAACGCGTTGACCTCCGCATTGATTTGCGGTCTGTCAGCGTTCCCACGCTGGGATGTGCACCCTAGAGCCCGGACCCATCGGTCGCGGTCACCGGTTTATTTCAGCCCTAGCACAGGGCCTGGAGCACGGGAGGTGTCAAAAGTATTTGTCGAACAAACAAATGAGCTGGCTGGCCCCGGACCCTCTGCATAGGCCTGTTTGGTTTTGGCGGCGGCTGGGGCAGAACCACCGCACCGGCCCTGACGTACGGGACCATTTTCTTTTTGGAAATGATCGATCCAGGGCTTGAGCCCAGGTCTGCTTGCTGCTGGAGCCCAGCACACAGCCCCTGAATCTCTATAAGGAAAGTGAGAAAAATGATCCTTCTGTCATCAGCAATTAGGTGGATTAAAAGATGAGGGAGGTACAAGCGGGTAGTGAACTACAATTCTAAACCTGGTTCTGGAGCCAGATTGCTTGGGTCTCAATCCAGCTCTGCCATTGGTGAGCTGTGTGACCTGAGACAAGTTTCTTAACCTCTCTGTGCTTTAGTTTCTTCCTCTGTGTGATGGGGACAGTGATAATAACTACATTATACAGTTATGGTGAGCATTCGTGTTGATGTCGGTGCCTGGGGGCATAGCAGGCACCGAGCGCATGGAAGCCATGCTCTCTGCAGTTATGCCACTCAGCTAGTGGGTTCCAAAGCTGGTTCGGGAACCCGAGGCTCCACCCGGTGCCCGTGGGCCCCTGCGTTGTGTCCTCTCTGGGCTGTGGGGCTGGGCCGGCGCTGGTTCCCGCAGCCCGCTTGGTCAGCCCTATGCCATCCTAGCGTGGCTGCTTACCTCTAGTGCTCGCCTCTTCCAGAAATACCTGAACACCTACTACGGCTGCCCCAAGGATAAGTGCAACCTGTTTGTGCTGAAGGACACGCTGAAGAAGATGCAGAAGTTCTTCGGGCTCCCCCAGACAGGCGTCCTCGACAAGCGCACCATCATGACCATGCGGAAGCCGCGCTGCGGCAACCCCGACGTGGCCAACTACAACTTCTTCCCCCGCAAGCCCAAGTGGGACAAGAACCAGATCACATACAGGTGCCGAGGCAGGGCTGGGGCAGCAGGGCCTCCGGACCGTGGGGCACAGGATCTCCTGGGACCTCACCCCACTCTGGGGTCCCATGAGGTGACTTGTGAGTGCTTGCGTCTTAAGGAGTATGCATACAAAGTTCTTAGGAGCTGGCGTCAGACCTGGACTTGAGTCTCCCACTCCTGGCTGTGAGGCATCAGGCTACTGATTTTTCAGTGCCCTGAGCCTTGGCCTTCCAATCCATAACATGGGGCTAAAACAAAAGCTTCCGCGTAGGTGGGTTGGGAACTAAGCTAGATCAGATATATGAAGGGCTTTCACAGTGTCCAGCATAGAGCAGCAGTGTGAGAAATGCTAGTCACTGTTACCACCAGGTGCGGTCACTGGGGCAGGTGGAGGGAACGTGACCATTGGTTGCTAATTGCGTTTATAGATAGAGAGTTGGTACAATTGGTTGTGGACTGGGTGGAGAACTCTGTTCTGTACGGCTCGTGCTGGATTCCAAGGATAAGATTTCTGCCCAGTGTCCCCTATGTCCCTGTGTGTCCCCCCAGCCAGAAGGGAGGGATGAGAGTCCTGAGACAAGGCCTGAAGGTGCTGGCTGGTTCAGGGCCACATGGGACCTCAAGGCTTTCTGGGTGGTCTCTTCTCTCAGTGAGCACTGCTCAGCATATGCACACGTATCCCCGCAGGTGCATACACACTCACATGTACACATTCCTGCACACATACTCATGCACCCCTCACACACTTATGTACTCACACATTTACACACCTGTGCACAAGTACCACCCTTACGTACATCCGTGCACTCGCACAATTTCATATACACACTTGCACATATGCATGCATTCTCGCACACATATATGTACTCATTCCTTTGCACACATGTACACACTCGTGCACTTCTCCCACCTCCAGGATCATTGGTTACACGCCTGACCTCGACTCCGAGACAGTGGACGATGCCTTCGCCCGTGCCTTCCAAGTGTGGAGTAACGTGACCCCCCTCCAGTTTTCTCGTATCTATGATGGAGAGGCCGACATCATGATCAACTTCGGCCGCTGGGGTAGGCAGAGTGGGGACCAGCAGGAGTTCAGTGCAGAGATGGGGGATGATTCTGCCCCCTAGAGAAGCACAGGGGGCTCCAAGGGCGGCTGAGACAGGACAGTAGAAGGTGTGAACACTGAAGTGGCGAGATGGGACCTGGTACTGGAGAGCCACATGGATGGGAGGGCCAATGACATGTAAATCTGAAAGCAGGTGGTCTTCCTGTGCTGTCCAGCGTGGTAGCGCCTAGAAACATGGCGCTGTTTACATTTAAGTTAGTTACAATTAAATAAAATTAAAATTCAGTTTCACAGTCACACTGGCCACATTTCTAGTGCTCAATAGCCATGTGGGGCTAGTTGTTGTTGAGTGGAACAGCGCAGAAAGTTCTGTTGGATGACACCGGCAGACACTGAAGAACTCCAGGTACAGGAGAAGGTCCGGAAGAATGGAGCAGTGTAGACCTGAGAGTGAGTGGAAAAGAACCCGGGGCCAATGGCGCCACCTGGGTTGGCGGTGTGAACACTGGCAGTAGAGGAGACACAGAGGTAGGAGTGTAGATACCGTGAGCAGTATAGCGTTGTGGGTAAATGGCGCAGCACAGGAAAGAATGTAGATGTGTGGGTGCGAGGCCAAGTAGGCGTGGGGTTAGTGTTGTGGATATTGGTGATGGACTTGAGGCAGCAGTGTAGACCTCAGGATGCTAACGATCAAGTCAGCACCTCTCTGCCCATTTGCTGTGTCCTTGTCTTGGGTAACTCCAACAGGAAGGGGACAGGTACCAGGTGGGCTAAAGGGCCCCGGTATGGATGGGGATGGGGCTGGGTGCCGGGGCCCATCCAGGGCGGATAGAAGCTGAGACCCGGCGTGTTTCAGAGCATGGAGATGGGTACCCCTTTGATGGCAAGGACGGGCTCCTGGCCCATGCCTTCGCCCCGGGGCCTGGTGTTGGAGGGGACTCCCACTTTGACGATGATGAGCTGTGGACCCTGGGAGAAGGACAAGGTAAGAAAGTGACCTTCCACTGCCCAAGCATGCTCTGCGGTCCCCTGCCTGTCTCCCTGTAACCTAGCAACAAGGACTGAGCCTTCCCTGGCAACCTTGGGCACCCACCTCTGCTCTGATGGGGGAGAGAGACGGGCGGGGGAGGGGAGGCGCACAGAATTCTAGTCTCTATAAAGAAGGGCCTGGAGATTTCACCCGCCCCATGCCACCCCTCAGTGGTCCGTGTGAAGTTCGGGAACGCCGACGGGGAGTTCTGTAAGTTCCCCTTCATGTTCAACGGCAAGGAGTACACCAGCTGCACGGACACAGGCCGCAGCGACGGCTTCCTCTGGTGCTCCACGACCTACGACTTCGACAAGGATGGCAAATACGGCTTCTGCCCCCACGAGGGTGAGTCCATCTGGCCCAGGCTTCCCGGGTTCGCCATGAAGTCTCACCATTAGCAATAATATGTGTGAAATCGCAGGTTTGATGTGCTAATTATTTTTTTCGAGCATACCTTAGAATGAACTTCAAACTATGAACATGCCCAGTGGAACTCTCTAGGACCATTCTGGGCTCTTCAGTGAGGATTGGGGGCTCAAGGGCATGAGGAGAGGATCAGAAGTCTAACAGTGGGGCTGAGGGGACAAAACTCAAGACACCAAGGCTGGTATTCAACTTGGCTTGGGGACGCTGACCCCTGGTATTTCAGCCATTACTTTTGGTTCTGATGCCAACTTTGCTAGTGTGAGTGTGTTTGTGTGTGTGCGCGCACGCCTGGTCATGGGGACTCTTCCATCTGCATCTCTCGGCCTCTTGTCTATTTTAGCTTATGCCTGCATTTCTGCGTGTTCACTTGGTATTTGTGTGTGTGTGTGTCAATGCTCACAACAAAATTTTCAGATATTTTGAAGCCGTATAGAGAGAATAATTTTTTTAAGGGGTAAGGGTATTGACACACACTCTGTCCTTTTAAAAAATATCCTTGACACACTTCATAATCAGAAATCAGAAAACAATAGGACATATAACTTCATACTCAGTCACGTCATCATATCTGATGATTCTCAAGATTGAAAGCCAGAATTATGGGACTAAACCCAAGTGTTTTTCTAAACACTCGTTTTCTCCCCCATCCCATAGCATCCTTGATCTCTATGTGCCTTTGTCTTTTGGCTATAAGTTTGCATGTTTGTGACTCCATGACTTCACGGCAGTTGAACACTGACCACCAACCATCTTGATCGAAGAATTCTGTTTATGCTTTTAGGACCAAAGCTCATGTGGTACTTTGTATTAAGAAAGAGTTCAAACCATTAATAAATCAGAAATGTTAAATAGAAACAATTTACATATCCTGCATTTCCCAACAGGGAGTCAGGTGGCGTGAACGCTCCCATGTGTCAGCCCTTGGGATTAGGACAGAATGCTTTGATGCTCAAAGTGAAAACAGCTGTATTTCATAAGTCGGGGAAGGGTTTTTCCCTGCATTGGACATTAGCCATGGACTTGGCCTGTAGCCAGACGCAAGTACGCACAGCACACATGTGTTTGGGTCTTGGGGCAGAGGTCTGGTTACTCAGCCCCTCCTGACTGCTGAGTCAAGTGTCTGTTTCTCTTCATTCTTGTTGGGGGCTGGATCCGAAAGGAGATATGGGCTTCCTGGGTGGTAGAAACGCAGGTCACAGGAGGCCAGAGGCGTGGAGGTTAACTCCTTGCCTTTCCCGTCTCGGAGGCCACCAGGCACCTGGCCCCAGTGTTGCCCCTTGGCTCAGTCCCATTGTTTCTGGAGTGGCAGGAGGAGGTCTCTTGATTGGGAAGACGGGACCAGCGAGGGGAAGGGGCCTGAGTCCTGCAGTGGCGGCCAGCGCCTGGGCTCCATTCTGGTCGTGGTGGAGTTAGCAGGGGCTGGTGAGGTCACCTCTGGCGCCGGCGTGCACAGATGGTCCTTGTTACGCGCTTGTGGTTTTGCTAGTTGGCAATTCCAGAGACACACCATTTTGTAGCTTTGGGGCGGAGGAGGGCACTGGGAGCAAGGGAAGGACCCGGACGGATACGTGCGGGCTCTGAATCCCGCTGTCTCCCCAAATCCCCCAGTCATGGCCCCAATCTTGGGGAGGTCAGAGGGGGAGGCTGGGGTGTTGGTCCCAGAGCCACCCCACTCCCGCCTCCCCCTCCTCCTCTGCCTCCTACCGGGACCACAGCAGAGCCAACCAGAAAAGTGAGTGAGGTTGAAAGGAAGTAAAGCTCTCTCTCTCTCTCTCTCTCTCTCTCTCTCTCTGTGTGTGTGTGTGTGTGTGTGTGTGTGTGTGTGTGGCAGTGAGTGAGCAAGGGAGACATTGAGATTAGTGTGTTTTGTAGTTTTCAGTTACACTCCTTACCCATTCTTCCGTTTATGTGACCATGAGCAGTTCTGGAACCAGGTTTCTCAGTGCCTCAGTTTCCCTATGTATCCCATGGAGAGACTCCTGCGATCCTGCTGGTTACGGATGGCATCTGTTTAGCAATCCGCACGGCGTGGGTGTTGACCAGGCAGAGCGGACAGTGGTCTGGGGCCTGAGGCCAGGGTCTTGGAGGCTCCCTGCTGTGTGCCCTGTGCTCAGCATTTCACTGTGGGCGGGGTTCCCTCAGGTCACAGGCAAAGGATGGGATCGACCTGGAAGCCAGGGGTTGTTCCCAGGAGCGCAGAGAAGCAGCAATGTACCAACCAGTATCAAAGATAGTTAATACTTTTAGAAACGATTTTATGTATTTTTAGAGAGAGGAGAAGGGAGGGAGAAAGGGAGGGAAACCTTGATGTAAGAGAAACATTGATGGGTTGCTTTTCTTCCGTGTCCTGACGGGGACCAAACCTGCAACCCAGGCATGTGCCCTGACTTGGGATTGAACCGCGACCTCTCACTTTGTGGGAAAATGCCCACCCCACGGAGCCCCCCTGCCAGGGCGATTGTTAGTGTTTTAACAATGCTGTAGCCTTGCTGGTGCGTGGGTCGGTGGTCTGACATCCGCACCCTCTCCTCTCTCCCCACCCCCAGCCCTGTTCACCCTGGGCGGCAACGCCAACGGACAGCCCTGCAAGTTCCCGTTCCGCTTCCAGGGCAAGTCGTACAACAGCTGCACCACCGAGGGCCGCAGCGATGACTACCGCTGGTGCGGCACCACGGAGGACTACGACCGCGACAAGAAGTATGGCTTCTGCCCCGAGACCGGTGGGTGTCCCTGTCCCTCCCTGCCTTCTGCAGAGAACCCCCGGGAGCCCCTCTCCCTTCCCCAGGATCGGACACTGGTCAGCACACTGAGTAGCTGGAGGGCAGAGGCACTGAAATCAGAGCAGACGTTGGGGGCCAACAGCCAGGTCCGCCCAGCTGCTGAGGCCTCGTATCAGGCCCGCCCAGAACCCTCCCCACAGGACCCACGTTCTCTCGGCCTCCCCGACAATTGTCTTTCTTTCCCTCCATGTGACCTCAAAGTCTCTTCCCTGCCTCCCTTTGTCAGCAAGGACTCTCAGTTGTCTTTCTTCCTCCTCCTTCTCTGCCTTTCGCCCTCTCTTCCTCCAGCAGATGTTTCCCAAGCACCTGCCTTCAGCAGGAAAACAGATGGGGCTTCCGTAGGCCCCTCAGCAGTGGCGCTGACGGCCCAGGGGAGCCTGTGGGCTCTGTCACCTCTGCCCAGCGCCCTGTGCCTCTGGTCCCTCTGTCCCCATCCATGCACACCTAAGTAAACCTCTGGGGTTAAGCCGGACGCTTCCTAGCAGGATCTGCTCAGGCACATTACTGTGTCTCTCTGAGCTGCAGTTTCCCCACCCGTGAAATGGGGTAACACAGGGTTCTGACTGCACGGGGTTCTTTTTAGGGGGGAGGGGATGAGACGTGTATAAAGCACTTGATCCAGCCAGCACTCAGTAAGTGTGGTTTGTTCATGTGCACATCATGCCGTTGTCCCTGGCGGTGGTGGGTGCAGACGCCTCATGGCCCCTGACCCGTGTCCCTGACTCCACAGCCATGTCCACTGTTGGTGGGAACTCGAAAGGTGCCCCCTGCGTCTTCCCCTTCAAATTCCTGGGCAAGAAGTATGAGCAGTGCACCACTGCGGGCCGCGGCGATGGCAAGTTATGGTGTTCCACCACTTCCAACTTCGACGAGGACCGCGAGTGGGGCTTCTGCCCCGACCAAGGTACGAGCCCCGGCCGCTGGGCTGAGACACCACACGCCACCCCCCAACCCCCCGTCTGAGCCCCCACCCCCTCAGACGTGGACATTGCTGCCCCCGCGCCCTGGCCGAGACCCTGCCTGTCCAGGGTGGGGACACTGCTCGCTCTAGGCCCGCCCGCGATAGAAGCACTGCCCATTCTCAGTGGACGCAGCCTCCCCGCTTAGCCACGCCCATCCAGGCAGAGGCCTGGCTTCCAATTTAAGACCCCATCCACCTTGGTACCTGCGTCTACTGAGACTCCCCAAAATGTCACAGTGCTGAGCTCGGTACCCTCCTCCGACGGACAGCTGCCTCGGAAGACAGGGAAAACAGGAGGCACCCATCCTGGCTCCCACCCTGTCCTCCACGCAGGGCCGAGATCCCCGGAGCCTCCCCAGTCCCCGCAGCACCATGCTCTGCCTTGTTGTGAGTGGGGGAGCTCAGGACACAGCCGCTGGAGCAGACCCAAGGCTGGGGTGAGGCAGTGACCAGGACACAGGCCGCCACCTTACTGTGCGTGTGTGGCCAGTGCAGTGTTTAGGGTGCTTGTGCCCAGTTCTGCCTGTAGGACTCAGGGTCATCGGACTCACTGATGACCAGGTGACAGGGCTGGTCCAGAGCCGGCCAGAAATAGGTCCCCCTCTCTTTATGTGACTCACGATGACATGGAACTTGGAGGAGGCCAACGGACAGAGGCTGGCTGAAGGAGCTTCTCTTACTCCCCGCAAGTGCCATGCTAGCACTTGTCTGATGTCGCCTGCTCTGCTCCAGCTGCTACCGAAAGGGGGGACCCCCCATCAGCCAGACCGGCATGGTGCACTGGGCTGTGTATCAGTTTCCTGACAAAGTGTCCCAAACTGGGTGGACTCCTCCACTTCTGGAGGCTCGGAGTCTAAAATCAGGGTGTCGGGGGGCCACGTTCCTCTGAGCGGCATGACTCCACTCCCGCCTCTCTCGCTGCGGGGCCTTCCTCCTCTGTTCTTTGTGTCTCTTCTTATAAGGGCACCAGTCCTACTGCGTTAAGGGGCCACCCTACGCCTGTATGACTTTACGTTTTAATTTATCTGCAAAGCCCTTGTTTCCAGATAAGGTCACCTTCGCAAGACTCAGGGTTAGGAATTCAATATATCTTTTGGGGAGACACACTGCAAGCCACAACAGGGATGACGCTGTCTGTGGCTGAGCCCAGCAGCCCCTGGAAGTGGGAGTGGCTTTTCCTGCTGTCCTTGGGGCAGGAATGATGGCCCCGGGGGGCCAGCCTGTTCCCTCTCTGTGACCTGTTTGGAGACTCTGCGGAGCAGGTTTTGCTCCTCCTCTTTCTGGAGAAGCACAGAAAGCCAGGTAGCCCGATGTCTAACAAGTGGGGCTTCAGGGAGAGGATCTACAGATGCCGCTTTCCTCACAGCACAGGTGCAGCCTGCCTGGAAAGGGACAAGGGGACTTTGGCTGACCCTGTGTGGAAAGAATAGGCATAGTCTATTAATCCCAGAAATCTCAGGGGAGGGAAAAATCAATCCCGGCCACGTGCCGGCCCTCTGTCCCACCACGGGGTGTTCTCAAAGGTCTCCATCACTGAGGCCAGGGGCTGACGCCTCTCTTGTCTCCCTCCCTTCTTTCTCCTCCTCCCCCCGCCCCCGCGGCCTCAGGGTACAGCCTGTTCTTGGTGGCAGCCCATGAATTTGGCCACGCAATGGGGCTGGAGCACTCGCAGGACCCTGGGGCCCTGATGGCGCCGATTTACACCTACACCAAGAACTTCCGCCTGTCCCAGGATGACATCAAGGGCATCCAAGACCTGTATGGTGAGCCTCGGCGTGGGGCTCCTGGGTGGGGCTCTGGGAGGGCCACACGGCCTAGGATGGAGGTCCAGCGTGGACCAGCAAGGCCCCAGCTACCCAGTGTCGCAGGAGACGAGCAGGAGGCACAAGGGCTGACCTGGTCTGAAGGAGCCGGAACGCCCCAAGGGAACCCTAGGACTGTCCCCTCCCTTGCCAAGTAACCTCAGTGTTCACATGCCCCCTGGCTCTCCCGCTCCGGGGCTCTCCGTCTTTCGGGGAGTACACTGAGACCCGAGAAAGGTGACCCTTCCTGGACCAACGTCACCAGGTTGCCGTAGCCAAGTTAGGTTAAGAATCCAGGTGAATTCTCTGCATATGGGGTAGAATTTCCCAGCTTGTGCCCTGGCCTTAATGAGACAGGGCTGCCGGCTTATAGTTTTCACAGGGATGCTTTTATTTTAATGTGTCAGAGGAACAATACAACTAGGGCCTGAGACCAATTATTTTTTTATTGCTAGTGCTTACAAGGAGGCTAGAGTTTAGAAAGTCAGTCTATCATTTAGGAAAAGTAGCTCTTGAGCCGAGAGGCTAGGGAAACAGCAGACTTAGACAGAACCCACAAGTGGAGGGGAGGCGCCCAGTTCTGTGCAGCCTCTGCCCCTCGCCAGCCATAAGAGACGGAGCTGGCCTTTGCCTCTCTGGACTCAGTTTCCTCATCTGTGAAATGGGAGTGATAATGATGCCTACCTCCCAGGGACGCAGTGGGGACTGATCTGGGTGAGGTCAGTGAGGAGCATTATAAAGTGTGAAGGGCCGTGGGTTGTGGTTTCTCTCCACTCCCCTCCCCGATCCACGTCCAGGCCCCGTGTTCCGCTCCTACCTGGGCTCATGCTAAGGCTGGAATAGTATGTCTGCTGATCCTTAGCAGGTTGGCGGGGTGGGAGGGGGGCAGCCCAGGGGCCTCAGTCCAGTGCGGGGAACCCCTGGAGCTGGGGAGGGTCTGAGGTCAGATGTCCCCCTACCCCACAGGGCCGTCCCCTGACGGAGACATCGACACTGGCACCGGCCCCACCCCCACGCTGGGACCCGTCACTCCCGAGATCTGCGTACAAGACGTAATCTTTGATGGCATCTCTCAGATCCGTGGGGAGATCTTCTTCTTCAAGGACCGGTGAGTGTGTGCTGCTTGTTCTCGGCCCTGGGCCCCCGCCCCTTGCGCAGGGACCCCGCCAGACGCGTTGGAGAATGGCCTGAAGAGACAGTTCCCGTGCTTGTCGAACCACCCCCAGGCCTCAGCGGCTTTGTCCCCGCGGGCCTTCCTTTAGCTTTCTGCCGGGCTGCGGGTCTGCCAGGCGTGTCAGTGTCGGTGTCAGGCTGCAGTGTGCGGAGCTATGCTCGGCTGCCACGCAGTCTCCTGGGGGTCAGTGGCTGCTCGTGGCAGGTGGCAGCAGCACAGGGGCGCAGGCAAACCGCACAAGCACAGCGAACGCCTGCACTCACGTTGGGTCTGAGACTCTCCCACCGACGGAAGCAAATCACACGGCCACGCCCAGCACCTACTCTTGGGGGTGGTTCTGCGAAGCCACATGGCAGCAGACGTGGGTCTATGTTTCCCAAAGAGGGATGGAGGGATGAATTGGAAACACTAATCCAGGCTGCCGCAGGCCTTCTGGAATGGCCTGGACCTCAGAGGGCCAAACTGTTCCGCGTACAGGGAGCAAGTAACTACAGGGTAGAGAAAGGAGGTATTGTGCCGGCAAGGCCGCTACTCAACTGACTCAACGCTGGCACGCGTCCAGCCATCCTGACCCTTCTGGGGGATGGCATATTAGGGCTACATTAAAGGACCCATCCATTACCCGCCTGTGCAAACATATATCCATTCATCTATCGATCCACCCACCCGTTATCCATCCGTCCATCCATTATCTGTCCATCTATAATCCATTACCCATGATCTATGCATCGTCATCCCCCATCCATCTGTCCGTCCGCCCATTCGTAGAGCGTGGCAACTGACAGTGGGCTGTGGAGCCCGAGCGCCGGGGTTAGGATACCTACTGGCCGCATTATCATAGGCAAGTGAACGATGTATCTTCTTTGTACCTCAGTTTCCCCATCTCTAAAATGGGACTAATTTTCCTACCTGTCTTATAGGGCTCTTGTAAGGGTTAGATGAGGTTAGCGCTTAGAACAATGCCTGACACAGAGTGTGTTCAGTCATACTAGCTATTATTATCAACAAATAATTACTTGGCATTAATGGGACCAAATGCTTGGCTAGGCTTTAGGAACTGGGGGTGCGGGTGGAATGCCGGGGGCAGACGGGCTACTTCATGCCCAGATCAGTTTTCTCAAAGAAAGGCCATGGGCCCCCTCCCTGAGAAGCCCTTGGGTGTGGGTGTCAGAAGTGTGCCCTCCTGTTCCCATTGCAGGCCCTCGACTGTGAGCTCCGCGAGCGCACTGCCCCGAGAACTTGATCTTAGCAAATCCCCCTCATGGTTCTGATGCACGTTAAAGTTTGAGCCTCACAGGCCGGGTCTGGGACACAGAGGCAGAGAGAACTGACAGTAATACGTGGCAGAATGAAAGACAGTGGCTGAAGAGGCATTGGCAAAGTGCTCTGTGGACCCATTCGAATCCAGGAGGCTTTAGAGAGGAGCCAGCACGGGAGGGGGCCTTTCAGGGGAAGTGGATGCAGATGGGCAGTGATGGGGTTGAAGGGTTGGGAGGGCGTTTGAGACGAGGGTTTTGCTGCAAGAGCAAAGCCATAGAGACATGAAAGTTCCTGGCTTCTACGGAGCCTGGTGAGGCAGGGAGCTATTTCATACTCTTTGGTGAAGGGCGTCCTCTGCTCCGGGCGCTGGGCTAGGTCCTGGGAGGAGCAGGTGCCAACAGGGAGGTGACAAGAAGGCAGAGAGAGATGAGACCCAAAGTGCAATGAGAAGTCAGGTACCGTCAGGCCTCGAAGGCCCAAGCTAGTGTGTAACAAGAGGTGTTCATGCTGTCCTGGGACCCCCGTTACAGGGTTGGGGAGCCCAGCTCCCCAGCAGCGCCCAAGCCTTGAGACCTCCAGCGAGGGAAGCCTCACTGACCACACGTGCTGATGGGAGCCCTGTGGGCCTGGGGTGGGGTGCAGAGCCCAGGCCTGCGGTGGGGCCACCCCAGGCCTGACACACTACCCTTTGGAAAGGATGTGGATGAGCATTTAATGGGCTCGTTGGATTAAGCACTAAATAGTTAAGCACCGATCAGGTGCAAAAATTGATGCTGAGCCTTGGGGAGGGCGGGGACGAGAAAGGCAATACTACAGGATGGTTCATCTCAGGCTTTGGAGTCAGACTGGGGTTTGAATCCTGGTGACCTCTCTGTGCTTCATCTTCTGAATAAGGATCCTGATGCCTCCCTGCACCAGCTTAAGTCACGGAGAGGAATGGTTCTCGCGTAGTACCAAGCCCAGGGTTAGGCTGCCTCCAGGCACAGAAAGGGGGTCAGTGACTCAGTGACAACTTTGTCCACTGCCATCCTCTGCACTGACTTCATCAGAAGGCTGGCTTCCTCATGGTTACGAGGTGGCTGCCCCTGGTAGCTGGGGCTATAGGTTCCCACATCCAGCAAGACAGAAAAAGAGAAAGACAGAGAGAGAGAGAGATCTCCACCTACAAAATACAAGTCTATCTGTTCAATCTCATGCGAACGCAAGTCATATAATGACTGCTGAGTCACAGGCAGTTCCCAGGGCGTGCTGACATCCCAGTGGTTCTCAAACTTTGGCCTGCGTTAGATTCATCGGGAAGGCTTGTTAAAACACAGATTTGCTGGACCCCAAGTCCAGAGAAGCTGATCCAGTGGTCTTGGATGGGGCTCATTGTTCACATTTCTAATGAGTTCCTGGATGGTGTGCTCTGGGGACCGCACTTTAAGAACCACCAGCTTCAACCAATCAGAATGCGGGGCAGGATGGATCATAAACTTGGGAGTTCCGTGAGGAAGGATGATAGGGAACTGAATAGATAATAGGGGCTGGGTGGACAGCCAAGAGTGCACATTGTAACACGGTGAGGAGCTCGTTTTGCAAGGCACATAGAGTGCTGGCACTTAATAGCCCTCTGCAAATGATCTCTCATATTCTTCTGAAGCATATAAATCCATTCCACTTCAGTCCAGGAGGTGCTTTTGAGTGCCATCAGCCCCTGCCTCACTTGGCTTCTAATCTTGTAGGAGAGCTAAGACATTAAAAAAAGAATCAAATTTTTTTAATCTGATTTTTAAGAGGCTCAGAAGAGGGGGAATACAATGTGGACAGAGGTAGTTAGGGAAGGCTTCCAGGAGGAGAGAACAAGAAGAGAGAGGAAAGAGGTTGCTTCCCAGCCCTGGCATCTTGCAGAGGGGGCTCTGCCTATCCCCCCATCCTTCTCCCACCTTCCTTTGATCTTGATGCCCCCGCCCAAGGCGTCACTGCCAGGCTGTCTCTGAATGGGTTTAGGGAGGCACCTGTGGTTACAGCTGCACCGTGGCTGAAGGTGAGTGTGGTTCTCCTAAGTCCCCTTCTTCCTCCTCAGGTTCATTTGGCGCACAGTGACACCCGGTACCAAGCCCATGGGGCCGCTGCTGGTAGCCACATTCTGGCCTGAGCTTCCAGAAAAGATCGATGCTGTGTATGAGGCCCCGCAGGAGGAGAAGGCTGTGTTCTTTGCAGGTGTGTGGGAGGGGCGGGTCCTGCCGGGCCCTCGGCTCCATGGGGCTCTGCCCCAGGCTTCCTGGGTGCCTGTGGGTGCTCCCGCTGCTTCGCTGACCCGTCCTTTCAGCCGTCATTTCCGAAAGCGTGGGGTTCACCTGGCGGGTGGCTCAGACACCAGCATCCAAAACCATTGGCCCACAGCATGAATAGTCATTACCTTTCATTGTTTTCCAATCTTTTTGATGTCTTTTCTAGAAGGAAAAGTCGCAGTGTAGTGCTGGTGTCTCTAATGCCAGCTAGAGCCTTCGGCAGGCAAAAACTTAAGTTAGGACTTAAAAAAACAAAAAATGACTTGCTTTCCTTGTTAAATTTTAAATTAAACGTATTTCTAAAGATTTCAAAATGAATTTCTTGAAAGCAAAATATCAAGTAAATAATTGTATAAGGAGCCTCTGTAGGTGGTAGAAATCATCAAGACCGGGTCACATGGCTAATGTTGGGGGACCCTGGCTTATGCAGCATTGACTGGGGCACCCGCCCTCACAGAGCTCGCACACTAGCGGGGAGACAGAAACCCAGGCTGTTACGGGTGGGGGGGGGCAGTAAATGCTGTGATGGGGAAGGGAGGACCAGCTGGGTCCCTGCGCTGGTCCCGGCTGGGGACACAGGGGCGGCTTTCTGGAGGAACGGAAGGCCCAGCCCACACTGTGGGTACGTGTTCTCCCCTGTCCAGAGTGATCATGGGCTGTGGCCGGGGCACCTTCATGCACATTAGATAAAGGCGCCTCTTCACGGCAGGTGTGGCATTCAGAGTGCACGGCTTGGTGAGGGGAGGGAGGGCTGGACCCACCCCTGTGCACCGCCTTGGCCAGCCACCTCCTATGTCACCAGCTGTCAAACTGTCCGCGTGAGCCCTGATCCAGGCTTGGAATCCAGGAGTGAGCAGCAAGCGTGTGCCTGCTGAGAACTGCCCGGCCACTGGCAGCCGGAAGATGGGAGTGGCGGGCTGGCGGGGCATTCTGTCCCTGGCATCTTACAGAGGGGGCTCTGCCCTTCCCGCGTGTTTCTCCCACCTTCCTTTGATATTGATTCCCCCTCCCAAGGCATCACTGCCAGGCTGTCCGTGACCCACTCTCTGCTTCCGCCCCAGGAAACGAGTACTGGGTTTATTCGGCCAGCACCCTGGAGCCAGGCTACCCCAAGCCACTGACCAGCCTGGGGCTGCCTCCCGATGTCGAACGAGTGGATGCCGCCTTTAACTGGAGCAAGAACAAGAAGACGTATATCTTTGCGGGCAACAAGTTCTGGAGGTAAGGAGGGCAGCGGAGCCGGCTGCGTGGACACGGAGAAGAGGCTTTGCGGCCTCACGCCTTGTCCCGGGTCAGGTTCAGAGGTCGATGGGCCAGGGAGGCCTCCCTCTGGCCTCTAGCCTGCCAGGACGGCAGCCCCTTAGACAGGCCATCAAAGGATGACCCATCCTTGTGCACATTGCTGGTACAGTTCTGGTCAGAACCTCCTTCCCCTTCTCAGAAGCCTTGATTGGGCCCACATCTGTCTGGCCTAGAGTTTCACAATTTGGGCTGACTCGCTGAAGAAGGGGGTAATTAAAATGAAGACAATAACTTCTCCTGCTGACATTATGCACCAGGCACTATTCCAAGGGCTTTATGAGAGGGGTATGATTAGTATTATTTCCCCTTTCTAGATGAGGACACTTGGGTTCAGAGAGGTTAAAAGTATGTCGCTTAAAGTCACAGGGCCAGGCAGGGGCAGTTTGGGATTTGGATCCTGGAAGTCTGTCTCCTAGAGAACATACTATTCTTCACTCTTCTACACTGTGCCTAAAAAGTAGTGGGGTCCCAAGAAATGGGGGCAGTAGAGGCAAAAGAGGATGAAGACAGATGGGTGCACCAGGTCTCCCGAGGAGCCTGCGTTCGCATCGGGCCTGTGGCGGAGAGCAGACGCCTGCTGGCGAGTCTGCAGCAGGCCCGGGGTGGGGGGCGCAGGCTGGCAGGGGCCAGCTGGGAAGCGGGCCGCCCTCGGCTCCAGGTTGTCTAAAGCGAAGGATTCCATTCTGAGAGGCCATGTTCCGGTCTAAGGGTCAGGGGCCCCATATCTAGGAATGGTCCGTGAGAAGTAGCCTCCGTTTGATTAAAATTTGTCCTATTTCCCAGGTGCAACGTGTATCATTGGCCACAGAGCCAGGATCGTAACTGCCTTCCCTGTCCTCTCACCCTGTGCCCCTCCACAGCACCCTAAGTGTCCTTCGGTCGGTGGGAAGAGGTGCTTGGTGCAGGTGGTTGGGTGTGTGCAACCACCCACGTCCCTCTGGTGGCTGCCACTGCTTCCTGATCCCAGTTCTGTCATCGCTGAAATAGCCCCGCTTTTCCCGCCAGGGCCCTCCCCCCTCCCACTTTCTCTTCCCGCCAGCCCCGCTCCCCGCTGCCCCCGCAGCATTCAGAACATTCAGAAGCTGCGTCCCACCCAGGCTGCCCCTGTCAGGGTGGAATTCCAGACAGATTGCCGAGATACTTAGCAATTGAAGCTGATTGATATCTCAAGCCTCGAGAAAGAACACAGTCAGCCAGGAAACCACAGAGTGGGCTTTCTGCCCACAGGCTCCAGAACATCCCCAGGCACACAGGCATACCGCGAACGTGCCCTGGTGTGGTTTGGTGCTCCGCATCTCCCGACCTTAGAGTGGGGGCAGTGAGAGGCGCGGGCTCTCAGATGTGCCTCTTAGACTCACAGAGCCCTGGCATCTGTGCATCATGGTGTTGGAAGGACTTTTCTAAACATCCTCCAATACACTTTCTGTATATGAACATAGAGGGACAGATGTGCCCGTGTGGGAACGTGAGCGTGCACACCCATGCCTGCATGCATACATACAACTCAGGCTGTGCCGGCGCCTTGCCAGGTCTCCAGCTGGGTTATCTGCCTCCCAGTACTTTTCCACAACAAGCCCACCTCCCAAAGTCAAGGTCCTTGTAAGCGGCAGAGCTGTAGGGCCTCTCTGTCTCTTCTGGAAACTCTGGGCAGCGTTTCCAGAAGAGACAGATCTGTGTCTGGAGAGGTGGCGAGTGAGCTGGAGATACTGGTCCTGGTGCAGCGTCTGCAGGGGGCCCACAGGCTGGAGAAGGGGAGAGAGACCTAGAGGGACAGAGGACGAGGAGCTGCCTTCAGCCTGGGCATTCCCTCCTTCATGCCGGGGAGTGCTCAGCCCCTGCTTCTGGAAGCTTCCACCAAGCCCTCAAATATCTATTCAGTATCGCCAGTATGCCAGGCACTGAGCTCCATGCTGAAAGACACTGGTCGTGACATAGTCACTCCTGCCTTGTGGAGCTTACGGGAGACACAGACACATTTGAGTAAGACAATAACGCTTCTCAGGATAGGTCCTGTGCTCTGCAGACCTGAGGCTGCTCATTTCACCTGTATTCCTCAGTCGAGGCAGTTGTCAGTGTGAGCCCCATCTTCTGGGTGTGGGGACTGAGGCTGATGTGCCTGCAGGGTGCCCCGTGGAAAGCCTGGGGCATAGTTGCCTGTGTCCCCAACACCAGCTGCAGAGGAGGTGGACGGAGTGTCACAGAGAAACCTTTCAGAACCATGTACCAGTGGGCGGGGACACTGTGAGGAGACTCTGGGGACCAAGGAAAGTGAAGACATAGGAGCCCCCTCAGAGCAGCTTCTGGTGCCACGATGCTGTCTCTTCCTGGAGGAAAAGAACGAGGAAGCAGATTGGTGCACTTCTCTGAGCCTCAGTTTCCTCATCTATAAAATGAGGGAGAGTCCTGCCCGCCCTAACTTCTATGGATAGAGAGAGAAAGAAACGAGGGCCACATCAAGGACACCTGGCCCTGGGCCATCATTACGTCAGAGACTGTAGGTTGAGGGGTCAGGTGGAGTGCAGGGTTTTGAGCTGGGCCACTTAGTTTTGGTGCTGCAGGTCACGAGGAAGCATGTTAGGTTTTGCAAGAGGCCTTCTGATGGGGGCCGGGATTAGAGAGGGCTTTGCTGGCAGGTCTCAGGGTGCAGGGTCCGTGGAAATGAGCTCAGAGCGGGGGCTGTGGCTGACGTCTGGGGCGGAGGCGGCCAGGCTGGCCGAGGGGAGGAGGGCCAGCGAGGAGCCCCTATGGAGGGATGCCTGGCCATCACCACGAGGCCCTTCGAACCAGATGTGCCTGGAGAATTAGCACCGCGCAGGCAGGACGTCCCCTTGTTTACTGCGCCATCCGCAGGCACAGAGAGTGGGCGCTCATTGAATATTTACAGAATAACGAAGGGGCGGAGTATAAGTGGGGACATAAGGAATCACAGTGACCCCAGCATTTAAAAAAGGTCTCCAAAAATGAAAAAGACAGAGGTATTGCCAGCCAGGAAGAGCATATATCAACTAAATACTCAAGGGATTTACCCAGATTGAGGGCAGGGCCCAGGGTGACTGTGCAGGCAGGACAGCTGAGGCGGCAGGGGGTCCGCCCTGGGACTGCCAGGGTTTGGACTCACATGCTACCTTGCATTATAACCTTCTGTCCCAGCCAAGATCGTCTCCCAGGACATGCACTGTCATCTCCACTTGACAGATGAGAAAGCAGCGATTTGGCCAAGCCACCCAGAACGAGAATGACGGGGCGGGACCCGTTCCTGGACTCCTGGCCCAGTTCTCGTCACGTGGCAGCAGGGATTGAAGTTCGTAAGGGAACTGATAGTTCCCAAACAATCTGCCAAGTACCAGATACTTTGCATGTGTTATTTTATTTCATTTACACATTAATTAATACATGAAATTAAACAGAACCCCATCTTCCAGCTGGTAACAGGGAGGCTTAGAGGAGAGCGTGCAGCCCTGGAGCCAGAGGCGTGGGTCGGACTATCGCTTAGCAGCTGGGTGCCCTTGTTAAGCCCCTGGTCTATGAAACGGGTACTACGGTAATAATTGTGTCATGGGACTGTCATATGGGTTGACCGAGAAAGGCAATGAAATGCGTTTAACTCACCCCTTCAGCGTTAAAGGTAAAATCACAAGCTTGTTTTTCTGGGACTGTGAAGGTCACATAATTAGTGTGCGGTGAAGTTGGGATTCCGACTGAGTCCTGACAACGTGTCCTTCCTTTCCAGCAGGCGGCTTCCCTGCAGGGCTGGGGCTGGGTTCCCAGGCCCGCCCAGGAGCCCTCAGCGGGGCCCTGCCGTCCCGGGCCCTCCGGGAGGGACGGCCTTTAGGGAGGCCTCGCTGGTTCATCGTGTCTGCTTCCTTGCAGATACAATGAAGTGAAGAAGAAAATGGACCCCGGCTTCCCCAAGCTCATCGAGGATGCCTGGAACGCTGTCCCCGATAACCTGGATGCCGTGGTGGACCTGCAGGGTGATGGTGAGCTGCCCGGGCCTCTGTCCGCTTTCTAGGACTCCCCGCCCCCATCCAGGACCTGGGTCCTCCAAGCACACACTCCCTCATTGTGCAGGGAGGCTTGCGGTGCCCGGGGAAACAAACCAGCCCCTTCAGCCCAGTGCTGGGAAGGCATCCAGACCCCTGACCTCTGCTCACTCAGCAGGCTCCAGGCAGTGAGACCCAGAAAGGCCCCTCGCAGCTGCAGGGCCCGGAGCCAGGGAAGGGGAGGGCGGGAGGCCTGGGGGTGGGGCGCAGGAACATGGGCTCTGTGCCCTGGATTCATTCTGGGGCTTGATCCAGGCCCTTTTGGGTTCCATGGGAGGCCTTGTCACCGCCTCCCCCTTAGCACAAGGGTGGCTCCATTTGAGACACAAAGCTTGTCACGCCCTCTTGCTGATGCGGCAAAGATCCCCGCGCAGCCCACTTTGTCCCTGGTCCCTGGCTGAATGAGACAAGCAGTGCCATCAGAGGACAGAATTAGGAGTTGGAAAGCCGTATCCCTCAGGAGCCTTCTGTGAGCTCTCCAGGCCCTGGAAATGGTCCAGTTTGGCTTTTTAGAGGCGATTTTAATTGAATTCCACAAAGATTTTTTTATTTTTTATTCTTTGAGCCCCTATCATATATGCTGGCTGCGCACACGGTCTTGACCTCGAGTGAGTGCCTCATGGTCTTACCTGTCCAACAAAACGCAGTGTACTGCCAGGCGCTAGGTGAACGGTTATCTGTGAGAATAAACAACTATTGGGCACCTACTATGTGCCAGGGTTTTAAAAGAAGTAAACAAGATACGTGTGTCCATAGTCCCAAGTTCCAACACCCAGAGGGGCTGGGCCAGTAGCACACATGAGTGAAGCAGGCAAGGCAGGCATTGGGGAGCAGTGGAGTCTGTGGCGAACCAGAGAGCACATGGCTCATGTACAGGGGTTGGTTGCTTCTCTGCTTCTGAGGATGGCGGCCCTGCAAGAACAGGGTCCAGTGTTGCTGGGTATCCTCTTAAAAGGAAGCAAAAAAAGGAAATAAGTAAATCCTGTATTTTCTTGTGAAGTTTCCAGATGTTTACACAATGGCAACTTATTCAGAATTCAAAATAAAACAAAACAAGAAAAACCTGTGTGAGCCACATAACGCCCATCTGCGGGCCAGGAGGATGAGCAGCCTCCTGGTTTGTCACCTTCCGTACGTGGAAAGCGCTTAGTTTGGGGATTGTGCTCAGCAAAGTACTGTTGTTTATATTAACAGTCACATTCTGTCAAACGTCATCCTCACTGCGAGCCCTAAGAGGCTGGTATGTTTACCCTCATCTTAAAGATGAAGACGGGGACTCAGAGAGCTAACTTCCGCAGCCACATCCCTTTCTCCAGCCCCAGAGGGTCCTTCCCTGTGGCCACAGGCTTCCAAAGCGCCCAGAGCCTTCCACACACCAGACTCTCCGAAGGTGGTCACAGCCTCTCTCCTTCCCATTCCAGGTCACAGCTACTTCTTCAAGGGCATGTATTACATGAAGCTGGAGAACCAAAGTCTGAAGAACGTGAAGTTCGGAAGCATCAAATCCGACTGGCTGGGTTGCTGAGTTGGCCGCAGCTCCCGCAGGCCCTGCGTCTCCGTCCGTTTCTGCACGTCGGGCCTGGAGCACCAGGGAAGGACCCAGGAGGGCCTGGCAACCTTCAGCTCTGTGGTTAATCAGCATTCTCCCCGCCACCTGGTGATCTAAGATTCCAGAGAGTGGCTGTGCCCTGTGCCCAAGGAAAGGTGCTGACCGTACCCCTCCCAGGTGCCCCTTGCTCCTCCGGATCCCACCAGCCCTCCAGAGCCACCCCAAAGAGATGCTTTGATGTCCTCAATGCGGCCCTGCCGCGGGCTGCCCTGGTGCTGCCACACTTCAGGCTCTTGTCCCTCCACAACCTTCTTCCAGCACCCTCAGAGCCAACAAAGACTGTCTCAGGGGGGCACTGGTGGCCCAACAGCTTGGCCTGGCCTGGGGCAGTAGGAGAGAGGCTTGGCCAGGAGGCCACCCGGACACCTGGCTTCTCACACTGCTGGCTGCCTTAGGACCTTCCCTCCGTCAGCAGGTTGCTTTGTGCGCACTTCGTTCTTTCGATCATCTTTTTTATTTTTCCACTTCCAAATTGCGTTTCCTGACAGAAGGACTCAGGCCGTCTGAAGTCACCGCACGAAGCATCTCAGCCCACCTCTCCACGGCTCCCCGGTTCACTCCACTTAGTACAAGCCTGACCCGTCACTTCCTCCACTGGATGGAGGAAAACCAGCCCGTGGCTTCTCGCTCAGCCCTCCCCTCCCTCCCCTTCAACCATTCCCCATGGGAAATGTCAACAGGTATGAATAAAGACACCAACTGAGTGGCAGTGCTTGCCTCTGATTTTACAGAACCTAGAGAGGAGCCCCAGCCCTAGCCAGAAGAGGAAACTTCCAAAGTCTAAACCGCTGCTCCCCGAAGGGCACAAGTGATGTTTGAGAGATCCCCAGAGTGTACAGTGTGAGCTGAGCTGGAGGCCCTCTGTCCCAGGGACCAAGTGATTCTGTGACAGTAATTGCAGGGTCTTGTTCAAGGTTCCCTTCCTCCTTGAGTCTCAGTTTCTTCATTAACAATAATCCCAATTCTAACGCTAATGAACAGTATCCCCAACCATGAGCAGAGGGCATTGCTTCATTGAATCTTTACAACAACTTAAAGAGGGGGTGGCCAAAATTAGCCCGGTTTTTATTGATGAGGGAAACGAGACCCAGAGAAAAGCGATTTGCCCAAGGTTCCATAGCTATTAGGTAAATATTTGCTCAGGGTACCATGGCTATTAGGTTACAACCCAAGTCGAGGCCAAAGATGAGCTAGAGGAGGAGCTTTAGCCCTCAGCCCAGAATCTTCAGCAGCAGCATTACCCTTCCCCAAAAGGCACCCTTAGTAAACACAGCTAGCGGGGAATGTGGGCTTGCTTTCTAAGCAGTTCCAGTTAATGGGTGAGCTTACCCCTCCCTCTCCCCAGAGTGCCAGCCCTAACCCCCTCCTCTGTGGAAATTCTGAAGTTGGTCCAAAAGAGTCATTTAAGGCTTGACGGTTTCAGAGGCCCCTTCTGGCTCTGCTAGTCTGTTGCTTCAGACCTCGTGTGGTGGGGCTGGTGGGGAGCGGAGTGAGAAATGGACGGGACTCTGGAGGTGACATTGGTGGGCCTGTGTCGTCTTTTCTCCTGCTGTGGCCTGCCCTCGGGAGTCCTAGACACTGCTTTCTATGCAGGTATCTTGCTGGAGGGCCACGAGGTTCTGCCAGCCCCTCCACGAAGATCCCTGAGGCTGCGGAAGCTCCTATCCTGGCTGTTACTACTACGCTGTTAATACACTGTCATTAAGGTTCTCTGTTAAACAGAAAATTCAGCTGCTCCACAACAGAATACCTAAAAGGTGCCATTTCTTGAACATGACACAATGTGCCCTTTTATTTCATGGTTACTACAACCCTACAGGGTAGAAATTTATCTTTTTCCATTCCTAGGTGAGAATACAAGCTCAGAGAGGTTGAGTGAGTAGCTGAAGGCCACACGGCTAATCTGGTCGGATCAAGAGATTCTGGGGTCTCCGGTGGGTTAGTTTGCAGAGGCGGCTGTCCCAGAGCCCAGATTCAGGTTCTCACCATGTCCGTAGTCTGCTGGGAGCCAGCTGGCCAGCAAGGATAAGTGATTCACCATCTCCATCTGACGCTCAGCCACTCGGGGCTTGACCAATGGGTCTCCGGTTCTGGGTAAACCCTTCATTCCCTCCCCCGGACCACCCATGTAGGTTCCGACAGGCCCTGAATTTCCTTCCTCAGGGTGGAATGGAGCCACCGGCTAAGTCATCTATCTCCCTTTGGGGGAGCAGGTTTCTCCCCTAATGAGGAGGGCAATAGTTATTTTTACCTTCTGATAATAGTAGCTCAATATTCCCCACTGTCAGTCCATGTTTTCAATGGAACAGATTCCACTCCTGGTATCAATTTCTCTCTTAGTCGAGACTCTTTCAGTTCTAACATAAACCTCCAACTCATACAGATGTAAACAAAAGCAAAACGTACACCAGAATTAAAATCCAGCCTGGGTATATTAACTCACTTAACGGTGCAAGCCCAGGGTCCCCCCCTGCACTAGCTGGATTCAGGTTCTGTTGATTCCCCTATTACAGAAGGAGGCAACAGGGTCATGGAGATAGTGATTTGGACAACATCGCAAAGCCGGTAGAACCGCCTGGAAGTCCCGGCCTGCCTGACCCTAAAACGGAGAACTAACTCTGCCTAAACCCTCTCTGGTGTGAGCTGGTCTGAGGGAGAGCCACGCGCTTCGAAGGGGGCAGAGAGCTATCGCACCAGGGCAGAGCCAGATAACTAGGAGGGTGGGGCTAGCGTTCAGGGGGTGGAGCCAGTACCTGGCGCGTTCAGAACCAGAGGGGCGGGGCGAGACCACAGGGCGATAAGTAACTTCGGCGCCTGCGCAGAGGCTCCGCCGCTCTGGGACTCCCGTGCAGCTCCGACTCAATCTTGGCTGCGACTCTGCTCTTGCGTTCCTCGCGTGTCGCTTCTGTCGGGTCCGAGGCCCGGCTCCGCCATGAGCCGGTGCGCCGAGGCGGCCGCCGTGGCGGCCACGGTGCCGGGCGCGGACGTCAGGATCGCGGCGCTGCGGCCGCCGAGGGTGCCCCGCCAAGCGTCCTTCTTCCCGCCCCCCGTGCGCAACCCCTTCGTGCAGCAGACGCGGTTGAGCACAGCGAGACGCGTCCAGGTGAGGGGCGTGGGTCCGAGGGAGGAGGCGCATCCAGGTGAGGGGCGTGGGTCCGAGGGAGGAGGCGCATCCAGGTGAGGGGCGTGGGTCTGAGGGAGGAGGCGCAGCCAGGTGAGGGGCGTGGGTCCGAGGGAGGAGGCGCAGCCAGGTGAGGGGCGTGGGTCCGAGGGAGGAGGCGCAGCCAGGTGAGGGGCGTGGGGCTGGGAGAGGAGGCAGGTCCAGGTAGAGGTGACACGTCCTAGGGTGCCATAGGTGTGACAAGGGAGGCGTCTGAGGGGGGCGCGAGTATGGGGAGCCAAGGCTCCGAGGAAGAAGGAAAGAGGTGTCGATGTGAGAGAGAGGGGCTTACGCGGGGGCCGTGACTCTGCAAGGGGCAGAGATGTGGGTCTGAGCGTGGAGGGCCCATGGAGGATGGTCCGAGGGCGATGTATGAACAGAAGATGCAGAGAACATGGGGATCGGAAAGGAAACATTCATTGCCTGCTGAGATAGGGAAATGAAAAATCGAGTTCCTGAGAATGTAGCGGGGGCGGGGGGGGGGCAACCTACCACAGGAGAGCGGGTTTGGGGAAGGCCTCCCGGTCCTGCCCGCGGCCCACCCCCCGCCCCCGCCCCCGCCGCCGCCCCGCTCCCCGGCCAAAGAGCCTGGGTCTGGAATTAGGACAACGAATCAGGCCCCGAGAGGATCGAGGTGAGCAGGGGCATCAGGGTATGACATCAGAATCTAGGAAAAGGGACAACGGGGTTCAGCTTAAGGTTATTTTAAGAGGTTTTGGTTCTGCATGAGTCTTCACCCACACACTTGTAGACTCATGGATGGAAGGTAGTCCAGACTCTCCCACTGTTAAATGGCTACATACAAAAAAGGAAGTTTCCTTTCCTTTTTCTTGTAAAGCTTTGCTTTTTACCATTAACAGTCACATTCACTCTTTGGACTTCCTCTTTGGTGAAGTTAGTGATCAAAGAACAAGATAGACCATGTCCTGTGTGGTCTGTATGGAAAAAAAAATCGTTTTGATGGTTTCTTGTCCATATCACAAGTTTCTTTACTTTAGATTTGAAATAGTGTAATTTTTGCACAACCTACATGAATGCACCGGAACCACGGTCCTCTCCGTGGTCGCGGGTTCAGTGCGGGGCTAAGAGCGTGGGTGGTAGTTCGAGCAATGATAGCTGGGTGTCTGGTGGAAGAAGGGCGTGAGAGGGGAAGAGGGAGATAATGTAGTAATAGCTCTTCGTGAAGAAATGAAATGTGTAAAACTGGTCTTCGAGTCTGTGGACCGATAGGTGTATCTTAAAATTTTAGAAACGCTTCTGAGTACATGGACTATCATTCAAGATTAATTTTAACCAAATCATTCATATTTAAATGAAAGTGTGTCCATTTATTTGGCCTCGTATTTTTTGAAAGAGGATCAAAGTATTTATATTGCACCTAAATTTTTTTTTTTTTTTTTTTTTTTTTGATATCATGGCCTGTTACTGTGTCGGGTGCACTTCAAAATAACTCTGCAAGAGTTGTATTACATGGGAGGATCACCAGTCTTGGTCAGAAAACATCTCAGACCTGCCATCTATTAACTGTTTGACTTTGGTCAAGTCTCTTAATGGCTCTAAGCCCCACTTTTCTCATCTGTTAAGTTGGAATAATAATATATCAAAAGAGGGTTAAAATTAAAGTGAGGTAATGTGTGAAAGAATCTGGTATTGTTTGCTGATCTTTTTAAAAAATTTTTCTTTGTTTAAAATTAATTTTAGAGAGAGGGGAGGGTTAGGGAGAAAAAGAGGGAGAGAAACATGGATGTGAGAGAGAAACATTGATCCATTGCCTCTCGCACGTGCCCAGACCAGGACCAAACCCGGAGCCTGGCATGTGCTCTGACCGGAAATTGTACCTGTGATCTTTCAGTTTGCAGGACCATGCCCAGCCCAGTGAGCCACACCAGCCAGGGCTTGTTTGCTGATCTTAATACTGATCGTTTTCTTAGGCTATTTGTTGTCTACGTTTTTAATGTGGTACTTAAAATTTACTACTTGCATTGAATGGAGTTGAATATAGCCTGGGTATTTTTTAAAAATTAAAAATTCATGTAATCCAGAGATACAAAATAGGTTTTAATGGCTTGAATGGGCTAGATAAAAGGAACTTTTGAATAGACATAACTGAAAAACAATGTTGGCTATATTTTCTAGTTTAAAAGATGGATATACTTTAAGTATGACTTAATATGAGCAATTCAGACTAAATTTAACTTGAATTCAAATTTAATCTTAGATGATGATCAATGTCTTGCTTAAGGACTGTTATCACTTTTGCATCTCGTATTAGGGCTTAGCTTTGCTCCTCCTCTTTTTAACTATTTAAGGGTCTGTTACTTAGTGGCATGGAAAAAAGTAGCCTACGTCTCATTTCCTCAGTAGAATATGGAATGGAAGTAAGTGTTTCATAGTAGTAATGGGGGTCATTTACTGTACAAAAATATTTGTTGAATGCCTACAGTGTGCCAGGCACAATGCAGTTCTCTGGAGATACAGAAGTGAACAAGAGAAATAAAGATGCTGCCTATCTAAAGCTTACATTTCACTGAGAAAAATGAACAAGTACAAAAACATATAATTTCACATTTTAGTGAGTGCAATGAAGACAATCCAGAGAAGAGGGTAACCCTGATAGAGCGTTAAAAGAATGTCTCCCTACAGAGATGACATATTACCAAATGGAAATAGGATAGAGAATCCTCCTAATTTGTCAGAGTTACTCAAGAAATGGTTTGCTGTTAAATACTATTATTTGTTGCCAGCCTGGAAGTGGCACAGAAATAAAAAGTTACCCAATATTTGACAACTCACTCAATTAAAATCCATGTTAGCTGCTCATTTTGAAAGTTAGTAAATGTATGAATATGCTATAACCTCATTTCAACTTTACCTTCAGGGTGTATGCTATGGTTATATTTTTTTTTTCTGCATTCAAGATTATATCTTGGTCATTTGCCAGACTGTCTTTATTTGACCTGCCTTGAAGCCAACCCACTGCAGTCTTTTCTCTGAGGGTGTTTGTCAGAAATAATCAGAGGCAACTCCTTAACAGCACAGCTGCCTGAGGCAATGAATAATAATTGAGGCAAACAATAAGCTAACCCAAAAACTTACAAGAAAAAGCTTGTAACTATATGCTGTCTAAAAAAGACACACTTTCAATTCAAAGACCCAAACAGGTTGAAAGTCAAAGGACCAAAAAAGATATACCGTGGAAACAGTAACCAATAGAGAACCAGAGGGGCTATATTAATATTAGATAAAGTAGACTTTAAGACAGAAAACTAGAAATAAAAGAACATTTTATAATGACAGGGGGTTGATTCATCAAGAAGATAAAGCAACTATAACCATTTATGCATCTAACAATAGAACCCTAAATACACAAAGCAAAACTGATAGATTGAAGGGAAAAATAAACAATTCAGCAAAAGTAGTTAGAGACTTCAATTCCCCACTTGCAGCAGTGGTAGAACAGTGAAACACAATGTCAACAAGGAAATAGAAGACCTAAATAACATTATAATCATCTATACCATATATATACATGTATAAATATACTCTACCCAACAACAGCAGAAAACACATTCTTATATTCTTATGTACCAATGGAACATTCACCAAAATAGACAATTATAATAGGTCATAAAACAAGCCTTAGTAAGTATAAAAGGATTATAATAATACATTATTCTATAACCACAATGGATTGAAATTACAAATTAGAAATCAGTAACAAGAAAATCTGAGAAATTCACAAATGTGTGGAGGTTAAATAACATGTTTCTAAGTAATCAGTGGTTCAAAGGAGAAATCATAAAAAGAGCTAGTAAATACTTTGAGATAAATGAAAATGAAGACACAATAGATAAAATGTGGCTAGCATTGTTTCAAAGTCTGGAAAAGGTGTTTTAAGAAGTGGAAATTTAGACCAATTTCCTTCATGATCATAGACATAAGAACTCTCAACAAAATATCAGCAGGTCGAATACAGCAATATGTAGAAAAGGTAAAATTTATCCTTAAAAGTTTGGCTTATTTCAGGAATGCAAGGTTGGTTTAACATACAAAAATTTACATTTCAATGTAACTCATCATATTAGCAAAACATATGGAAAGAAGCATATGATCATTTCGATAGAAACAGAAATATTGTTAACTCGTTTGTCAAAAGTCAGCAACTACTGATGTTTGAGAAAATTCTCAGTAAAATAGGAATAAAAGGGACCTCTCTCAATCTAACGAAGGGCACCTATCTATCCCAGTAAAAATCTCAACAGGCTTTTTTGTTTGTATGGAAACTGACAGATTAATTCTGAAATGCATATCGAAATGGAAAGGATCTAGATTGGCCCAAAAACAGTTGGAAGAAGAAAAAGTTGGAGATACCCGATTTCAAGACTTACTACAAAGCTACAGCAATGAAGAGAGTGGAAAATTTTGACAGGATAGATGAATAGACAGATCAGTGGAACAGAACAGAGAACCCACACATATATGTTCAATTGATTTTTGACAAAATTGCCAAGAAAATTCATTGGGGGATGTCAGCTCTTTTCAGCCGATGGCATTGGTACAACTAGGTAAATCTATGGATAAAAATGAACCTTGATTCCCTACTGCACACCACATGCAGAAAAATAATTTTAGGTGGACATAGGCTGAAACATAAAAGCTAAAATCATACAGCTTCTAGAAGAAGAAGAAAATAGAAAATATCTTCATGACCTTGAAGTAGGTAAAGATTTCTTAGAAAGGACACAGAACAGAATAAAAATAAAATAAATTAGTTTTTGTGAGCATTACAATTCTCATCAAAAGGTACCATTAAGAAATTGAAAAGGCAAGCCATGGACTAGGAGAACATGTTTTCACGTTTATGTATAACATATAAAGAACTCCTACAAGTTGGTATAATAAAACTAACAACCCAATAAAATGGGCCAAAGATTTGAAAAGACACTTGAAATAAGTCAAAGGGATAACCAAGAAACGCCTGAAAAATGTGCTCAGTATCACTGCTTATCAAGAAAGTATGAGTTAAAACCTCAATGAGATAGCACTTTTCACCCACTTGAGTGGCTGCAAAGACTGACAACACCAAATACGGTGCAAATGGGGAGCAACGGGAACTTTCATACTTTGTTAATGGAGCTATGAAATGGTACAACCACTTTGGAAAACAGTTTGGCAGTGCCTTACAATGTTAAGCATACCCTGATCCAACAATTTCACCCCCAAAGAAATGAAAATATATGTTCACACAGGGACTTGACCATTAATGTCCATAGGAGCTACATTCATAATAGCTAAAAATGTTTAGTATGTCAACTGTCCATGAACAGATGAATGGATAACTGAATTGTAATACTTGTGTATTTATACAATGGAATCCTACTCCACAATGAAAAAGAACTATACTACTAACACACAGAGCAGCACTGTTGAATCTCAAAAATATGAAGTGAAGAAGCCAGACATAAAAGTACGTATTGTGTGATTTAATTTATATGACAGTCTAGAACAGGCAAAAGTATGGTGAAAGAAAGTCTCAGTGGTTGCCAAGGGCTGAGAGGGTGTATAGGCTGCAGAGAGGCACAGTGGACCTTTGTGGGGTGACAGAGATGTTCTATGTGTTGGTTTTGGTGGTGTTTATGTAGCAATATACATTAAAAAAACTCATAACCCCTACACTTAAAACAGGTGCATTTTATTTTATGTAAATGATATCTTAATAAAATCAATATTTTAAAAAGACTCTCAACACCAAAGGCTGGTCAGGATGTACTATGGCTGACATTCTCATACATGGCCAGTGACATTTTATAATGATCCAGCCACTTATTTATTTATTTATTTATTTATTTTGATTAAATTTTGGCTTTCAGACTTTCTGCCTTGGAATTTTCCTGCTTCCCATTCGTGCCTTATTCGTTGCAATAGTTTTGATACTGGCATGGCCGTTTGCTGCAATTGCAACCCTGTGCCGTCCTGAAAAGCCAACCCACCCAGTCACCGGTTGGAGGAGGTAAGAAATAGTTGTGTCTACATACTAGATAAATCAAGATAAAGAAGGGTTTATCATAGTTTAGTGATCAATAGATTGATCTAACTGCTGCTACCTACTCAATTTTAATTACTTATTTCTGTTTCTCAGATGAAACCGTTCTTACTTTATCATATGTACAAATTACTGCCCAAGAACAGATGATCTTCTGTTGAAGTCATCATGTCCTAATAGTAAAATATTTTGTTTTCTGAATGACTGCCAAAAAGTGATAGATCCCTGATTCTCAAAGACCCCATTAATATAACTAAACCATTCAAGTTGAAAAATACCTGGCTTTTTTTTTTTATGTTTGCTTTTTCTCCTCTCTAAAAAACTATATACTTTATTAAGTGCTATTATCAAGTGGGTCAGTTACAGTATATTCATGCATTACTTCAGTGATTATTATTAACGACCATTTAACTATGGCTCAGCAGAGCCTGGCTTTATTAAGCATTAGCGTTGAGGCGTCGAGGCCCCCGGCACTGCTTTGCAAGCATTATGTAATTCACATTGTTTGAGACCAGACGGATGATAAGTTAAAGTTACTAGTAAAGGTTCATTCCCATCGGGCAGAGTCCACTTGTTGCCATCTCTGCTATGTCCTGAAAGCGAAGGTTCTTCGCGTGCAGTCCCTGGATATGCTAGAAATCCATACATAAGTTTTAGGGCATTGTTAGACTCTCGGAGGTTGTGCCCTTTTTTTTTTTTTTTTTTTTTTTTTTTTACACTAGGGTCTGTTCCTTTCCTCCAAATCTCAAATGAGAATATGTCTGTCCTTCCAAAATTTTGAGAAATGCTGTTTAAGGAACTTTTTCAGAAATACGCAACTCGCTGTTCAATTCATGTTTTAGTGAACAAATGTCAACAGGAGCCACAAGGCTGGCTGGAAGTGGACCCAGCTCCATGGCTGGCGATGCCTCAGGAGAAATAAGCCCCACTTCAGTCCTTGCAAATCACACCTCTGTGTTTTATAGCCCAAGGTTGTAGTCACTGAAAATGTACTGTGAGTGATATGTTTCACTACTTGCTCATTCCTTTCAATTATTTCCTCGGTTGCTGTTGTTAATGGCTTATAGAAACCTGTGATGAAGGAAGGAGTAGGCTAAATATCCAGAAAACAGATCAGATAAGTGTTGGGAAGGACAGTCCTACTTTTGTCAGTTAAGCCAGTATCCCCACCACCTCTCAAACAGGTAACATTGGAGTTATCATGCAGCACTAGACTTTTAGCCATTTTTAAAAAACATTATAAGTAGAAGTGTCTCACGACTTGGAATACGGGATACTTTGGAACGTAGTTGTCGGAAGCTGCATCTCTGTCAGTCAGAAATCATGAAAGGGTGAGCTTTTTATCCTGACATAAATAGAGATCTTAACTCTAAACGAAAGGTCAAGAAGGGGAGAGACAGTCCTTTGTGCTCTCTGGAATGGTTGGTCTATGTCTCACTTCTCACTGCGAAATAAAAGCCAGGGCAACTTCCTCAGTAGCTCGTTGCTTAATAGTTCCTCACTATAATATCACAAGATGGTTGAGAAAACTAGATAGGAAGTCCATTTTTTTAAAGCTCTCATTCGTGGCCTGAGGGCAGGGTATGCACAGCGTTTCTGTTTTTCATGAAGAGCTGTATGCTTACTTGCATGCTGAGATGTCCACCCTGTGTTTGCATTTCCAGGAATATATTTTTGTTTCTCTACTCATCTGAGCTCATCAAGGACAGCGACTGGGCCTTACTTGTCATGTGGGTCCACACAGTTCCCAACACAGTTTGATGAACGAATTAATCTTTAAGGACAGATTCTTTTGGAAAAGGCAGCTATGAGATTTCTGGAATTGTTTCAGTGCATCTTGGTTCCAAGGAAGTGAGAAAGTGAATTTTCTTAAGATCCATGATGATGTCTGTGAAAGCTAACTTTTTAAAAAAAATTATTCTTAAAATCACTCTGAGGACAGTTTCAGCAAAAAATTCTAAAAGTGTTTGGGGAGAGAGCGGCACTTTTGTTACTACACAGACAGATCCCCAAGGTGGCTGCTTTGAAGGGCATTACTGATTTGAATTTCTCAGAGGGACGTGTGTCATCAATTCAAACTCATTCTTTTCACTTTAGAGTCCAAGGAGAATGGAGCCACTTACTAGCCATAGGTCCTTGGTAAAATTACTTCTCTGTTGCCTCAGTTTCGCTGTCTGGAAAAGGGGGGCAATAATAAATAATACCTATTTTATAAAGTTGGGCTGAGGATTAAAGAAATTAATATATGTAGCACGTATATTATTTGTGCCTGGAAGGTAGTGCCCCGTTGGAAGTGTGAGCTCTTCTTCTCAGCATATATTTCCAAATGAAGTGTTCTGGTCTATGCTCTCGTTTTTGCATTGTGTTTTAAAGCAGAGCCCAGCGATGAGCGAAGCTAATTCTGACTTTTCTCTATGTATATTCGAAGGAAACTCACTCAGCCAGTTTTGAAGTTTCTGGGCCGTGCCATGTTCTTCTCAATGGGATTTATAGTGACTGTGACAGGAAAGATCGCGGACCCCGGGGAAGCGCCCATCTTGGTCGCCGCCCCTCATTCATCCTTCTTCGACGGGATCGCCTGCGTCGTAGCGGGGTTACCTTCCCTGGTTTCTCGAAATGAGAACGTGCAGGTCCCTCTGATTGGCAGTAAGTACTTGTAAGGTGACAGAGATAAAACATTTTCGCGCTCATGCCTCAAACTTAAAAAAAATATATTTAGTTTAGTGGTAGACTTTTCAGGAACTTTTAAAATAATGAACGATTTCAAACATACTTGCTTTCTTTTAATGAGATACGATGTTAAAGGAATGACTTGATGAAAAAACATTAGCCTTCCCTGTATATGTCCCCATATATATCTTTTAAAATCTGATTTTTATCACTGTACCATCATCTCTTCCTGTTCTTACATAAAAAAGACCAGTGTTTCAAATACCAAACATGCTTGATGATTTTTCTTTCTTGGGGGAGAGAGCGAATTGAAGCACAGGATCTGTGAAACCACCCACCTCACGCTAGTTCATGAATTTCCCTTCGGGGCATTAGGCTGATGAACACACTATGTTTGTCTCCAAACTCTGCTTTCTTCATTTCCCCCACTTCTCCATGAGGGACCAGTGTGTAACTCTTTGAAAATTACGATGTGGAACAATAGTGCTTCCTGTCATAAAAAAAATAACAAAGCAAGGGAAATGCTTTTCCCACTGGATGCTTGGGTCTCTCTGTCTGGGGTATTAGTTTCCAAGTAACTGTCCCCTGGTGTTTCAAGGCCTCTGCAAGCGCCAGGCGATGAGAGAGTGAGCGTGAAGCTTGCGTGATGTTGCTCTGGAGCTCTGCAGAAATAATAGTCATTCTTGCAGCTTTGTCATTCAGCTAAGAAAGATGCTTTTTTTCAACGTAACCCCCCCGCTTTATGTAATAAGGCTTTTACCTGAAAAATCATGTAGCAATGGGTTTTTGGTACATGCAGTTTTACTTTGCGTGTGCTAGGAAGTTATGTACTTAGAAGACTGCTGTGCTGAAAATGTTAGTAAAATGAGGAATAATAGCTTCTGACTCCTGTGTGCCATGAAGTCATATAATTGGTTTTCAGGCTGTCCCTAAAATAAAACCAGATGACCTTGTAGCACATTTCGAAGTTTTAGTGTCAGCTGAGGAAGAAGACCTTTAGGGAGTAAATTGCATCTCCTTTTTTTCATATTCCTGCTGCTCATTTCTGTTACATCAATGGACTATTTTTTTAGGTATGACTATCCACCCCTCCTTTTGAAACCAGAAACAAAGTTCTAATAAACTTTGAATCAGAGGGTATTTTTAAAGTTGTTTTTCTTATTCATTTTCATTTTCATAACAGTTCTTCATGATTTCGCCTGTGTTCTTATTTTGGTAGCTTTAGCTAAAAAAAAAAAAAAAAAAAAAAAAAAAGACTTGATTGTGAATCTGTTTTGTTGAAAAGGACTGTTACGGGCGCTGCAGCCGGTGTTGGTATCCCGCGTAGATCCGGATTCCCGGAAGAACACAATAAACGAAATAATCCGGCGAGCCACCTCGGGAGGGGAGTGGCCCCAGGTAAAACGTGGCAGATGTGAGCGTGACTACCTTGAGAGTCTATTTATCGTGCACTTGTAAACATGTTCACTTGGCTCCACAGACAGCATTAGCTCAGGGACGCCTGTGCTAGGCGTCTTTAGCGTAACAGAAGCAGAATAGGCGAGTGAGCCTTAAGAAGCCCTCCTCCCCATGAGATACTCCATGGATTTACAAGTATCATTTTTTGTTTTTTTATCTTCCAAATGCTTTGAGCCAATTTTTACTTTGGGTTATAAAACGTAATTCCCTGCCTCTTGAGTTTATTTACCTTGAAACAGAGGAGATGCTAATGCTCAGTCGTACTCAACCGTCCGGTGGGTTTACTAAAAAGGTCATGAAGATCCTCACGCTTGTCTGAGCTGCACTGAGACAGTGCTCTGCAGTTTGACGGGGGGCGCCTACCAGAGTCACCTGTGGAAGCTTTCAAACTTGACCATCTCAGCAACCCCTGCCCCTGGAATGGGTGCCTCCTGGCGGTGGGAGAGGGGCAGCATTAATGGGATAAAGGAAGCGCGGTGGGCGACACTGGCAGGCGTGCCTCTGCCTTTGCCCAGGGGAGAGCCAGTGACGCCCGGCAGAGCTGAGGGGCCCGCAGTGACCTGGCCGTCCGTGATGATGCGTGGCTGTTAGAGCCCAGAGAGTCTGTGACCCGCCAGGAGGTTGTAGAAGCCAAGGCATGTGAGGAAAGGTCTAAGAAGCGACTGGGAAGAAGGGTTCCATTTTTCTCTTTGGATCCGACAAACCTATCTAGGCCTGGTAGGTGGAAGTTAACACGGAGGAAGATTTCAGCTCATTTTGCTCCACCCGAGGGACTTCCTGTCCAGAGGCAAATTCGTCTGATTTGGAATCCTTTTCTGGAATTTTCAGGCACTGGTTGAGCAACCACTTGTGAGGGATATTGCAGAAAGAAGTCCAGCGTTAGAAATGCCAGAGGACTTCTCATGCCCGCTCCAGCTTGGAGACTTCACGATTCATTGTTAATAGTGTGGCTATAGAATGGCCACTGAATGAATCATGTTGGATCCCATTGCTGTAGGAAACCGATTTTTTTTTTTTAATAGGAAGGTGGAACGGCACCTATTCATAACTTTAATTTTACAAGTGACCTTTTATGGTGGCAATTTAGCCTAATGATGTTTCCTTCTCTAATTACTATAAAATACACATTATTAGGTGCTGGGGGAGCAGGCATTTTCTGTTGTGTTTTATGTATTGTACTTGGCAATTTGTTCGTTGCTAAATTCTAAACACTTCAGAAAATCAAGTTGTTATTTCATTCAGCTGATGGAAAACTGGCTACTGCCGATCTTTCACATGGAAAACAGGGGAATATGTTAAAAGCTAAAAGTACTTCCTCAAAAAGATATTAAATTGTGTTTCTTAGGTCAACTAATTCAAGAAAAAGCATAAAATGTACTGTAAGCAGTTTTCCCTCCTTGCATGTTGTTGGGAGTGAGTATCATTTATTGAGAGAACTGAAACAAAGAAGTAGGAAATGGCTTGGTTAAGGATGTATAGCAGCCGCAGAAAGAATGTAATATTGTCTAAATGTACACTTGGCCATGACTTAGGTCTGCATCTTCTGAGTCTGTGCAGATCCTAGGTATCATCAAGAAACATTTGCTAAGTGTATACTCCATTCAAAGCTTTAATCTATTTTCTAATTATCTTACTGGTCAGATTACACTTCTTTTAGAAGAAAACCAAAAACCTATCATCCCATTTTAGCTTGCATTGGAATCAAGGGTTAGCCTTCAATTTCAGCTTTGCTTGATAAGAATTGGCAGCTATTTATGAAGTAATCAGAAAGTGAATGATAAGCTAACCTATTAATTAGACTGAAATATTAAATCTATTCCTTTTCTCCCAAGATACTAGTTTTCCCAGAAGGTACTTGTACTAATCGCTCCTGTTTGATTACTTTTAAACCAGGTGAGAAATTAAATTATGTATTGTGACAAAATAGTGTGGGAGATCTCTTGAATGATTTGATAATTAACACACAAAATAACTCGCTGGTTTTCTCTGAGCCTTTCTTCTTTTCCAAGAAAAAGTTCTTAATGCTGTGAAGCTACAGAGCGCACTTCTTTACTTTCTCTTTTGGTATCACAGCCACTTCTTCCTTGGGGAAGGGGGGAAAGTGAGTGAGTGTGTGTGTGTGAGCAGAACCACAGGCGATTTTTCTTTTCCTCCAAGGCGGCTGTCACAGACACGCGGGGCCCTGTGCCATCGAGTAGAAAACACATGTCAATTATCATTATAATACCTTCTAAGGTTCACTTCATTTTTTTAAATATTATCAAGTCGTGCATTTCATAGTAATGTGTAATTTTATATGTAATGTTATAGTCATTGTAATCCTATGAAATGCGTCTGTACCAGCTGCTAGAATGCTCAAAGCCAAAGTTAGAACTCACTTCCAGCAACTGTGGCAGTTCTTGCTTCGAGCATTTGGTTTCGTCTAGGTGTTCTTATTTTCCTCTGCCATTACCTAATAAACAAACAAACAAACAGCAAACAAACCCTGTCACATAATAGGTATTCGGAAAATGGAGATGTACATAAATGAGTATCTTAAGTGACTTGGCACAACATTTCATATTTTGCGTACATAGTTCTGAATTTCCCCAGTCTCCCATTTTGGTAAACACTAGGGATTTACCAACATTTAGTCACTAGTTTTTTGTTTCATGTGTACTCTTAAAACATGCAGTGTATGTGTGTCTTTATATATATATATATATATGTATACTTTCTTTTCTCTATTGTAAAGCTTGTGCTCATGCAAAGAACACGCTCTAAAGTCTCTGTCGTGGTTATAGGAGCCTTCATCCCGGGAGTCCCTGTGCAGCCAGTCCTCCTCCGATACCCAAACGAGCTGGTAAGGCCCGACGGTCGCCGCGGGAGCACGGCCCCGCACTCCCGACAGCTCGCAGCCCCCGGGCCCCGTCCGCGCTGTGACGGAAGGCCCGACCCGATCCATGGCGGAAGCGGATGGGAAGGAGACTCCGTCTCCTGGCCGTGTGCGGTTTTTCACCGTTGGCAAGATAGGCCCGCATTTGCTGATGCCAGTATTGCGTTGTGGTTTTGCTGCGACTGAGCCACAGGAGGACGCTCCCTTAGCTTCTGCCCTATTGTCACGACAATGATACGATGAAGTCCCCGGTTGGGAGTCTCAGTAGGAAACGTGCAAAAGTTTGTGATTTTCATTAACAGAAGGACATTTTTCCTGATTCACTGGTCACTGCGGGTAGACAGGGATTGAAGAGGCAGGGTAAATTTGGGATAGGCTTGACGTTTCATTACTGGCTCGGTACTTACTAGCTGTGAGAGTCCTGGCAAGCAACGTAAACAAGACAATATTTAGAAGGAACCAACAACCCTCAAGGAAGTCCCCAGCTGGCTCCGGAAATTGTCCCCGCTGCTCCAGCGAGGCAGCTGGCTGTCTTCTAGACATTGATTATCTCGCCAGTTCCCCAAGCACAGGGTTTTGGAGGGTGTTTTGGTACTAAGAGAAACTTTAATTACTAGGGAATTTCCATCAAAAGGCAAGATGTAGTTGTTAATGACCTATGTTATTTCAGATTAAAAGTTCTCGATCAAGACAGCTTTCTGTTCAGTGGCTGGTTTCTCAACCCTGGACACCCGTAGTTAGACTTAAAATCAATCAGACTTTTACTCATTGTATTTCTGGCAGTGGGTTTGCATTTGCCATTTGTTCAACTTCCTTCACTTTGCATTACTTAAATCTTTTTCTCCCAAATTACTCTCTCTTTTTTGGAAAACTGATGTATTTTGGGTTTTGTAAACAAATTCATTATCCAGATATGTTCACATTCAGAGAAAAATAGCTAAGCATGCATGCTAGGTTTTTAAAAATTCAGAGCAACTTAGCTCCATGAAAAGGTGGTTACATAAGGAAGACGGAGCTTTGCTATGGAGATATGTAATCCGAGACTGCAAACACGCTTGTTTTATTTTACAACCTATTGCCTTTCATTCAGAAAGTACATGAACGCCAATGTGAAAGCCAGGGTTTTGTTTCGTTTGGTATCCTCTGAACTAACAGTTTAAATACTTTTGTTATTTTAGGATACTGTGACTTGGACTTGGCAAGGATATACATTGTAAGTCGTTCTTATCTCTTATTTATATACATTTTAAATCCTAGTGAAGAAAAAGATCTTTATAAAAGACTTGCTCCATGAAAGTAAAGATTTCTAATCAGATCCTTAAATCTTGCAACTGGTACGTCTCCGTACAGAGCGTCACCATCTTGCCCCTTAACCCCACCGCGTCTCCCAGGTACGGGAGTGAAGCCGTGTCCCATTCTAACGGGTCTTAAATCCTTATCTACCAACTTTTAAGAAACATTCTAACAAACCAGTGACCAGTATCTAGCTTTAATTTTGTGGCTTCATTTTCATTGAAGATTTAGCATTACCCAACATCCTCATTGTTATTTTCCTAACTGCTGGTTTAAGCGGCCAAGAGTGGTTTAGTCATACGACCTGAAATGTGAGTTGAAAAAATAGCGAACCAAGCTTTCAGTTTTGGTGTGGGATGGTAAAAACACAGGCCTCAGCAGTTTCTAAAAACCCTTCACAGACAGGAAAAGAATATAGTTTCACTATTAAGCAAGCTGAAGTGAAACAGGACTTTAAACAGAACAGGGCATGTGGAGTCCCTCTCGCTGTTCACAGCCTGTGTGCGTTTTGGTGGGAACCACGTAAAACACGTGGATTTGAGGGCTGTGCCCAGGGCTTTTCCAGCGATGCCTTCTGATACGTTATATATAGAACTCAAGAAACATTATTGGCGGACAAGTGACAACCGCTTGGAAATATTTGAAAGGGAATCGTTTGCCTTAAAGAATACTGTGGGCTCCTTTAGACTAACCTTTAATTTAGACAATCCAAACAACTTCTGAAAGTCATATTTTTTTAAATAGTTACTTTCTCTATTTTGGGTGTGCGAATCACTTTGCAATAAGAAATGTGAGTCAGAATAGGTAGCCAGCCGATGAACCAGTTCCGTCTGTCCTTGTCGGTTAACATGTGGGATCCTTATGTTCCCTTAGGTTCCAGTCCTTGAAGGTAAGTAGACGACACCGACAATAAAGGACATACATCGTAAAGGCTGTTGAGGCATTGCATTAACTCCTCAGGAAATCAGTTTATTTATTTATTCATTTGGTTAGAATATGTGTTTCATGGCGCTACTAGTTTTGAATGACTGGTTTTCAGTTTTTATACAAGAAAAAAGGAGGGGAAACAAGGAGTGTGAGGGCATTGTAGAAAAAGGGCCTCCAAATCAGGGGGGTGGTGTGTTTGTGTTTCCTGCGGCCTTTGTGTCATCCCGAGAGCCATCTCTGGGGCCTTTGCAGGTCGCGTTCCTTGAGGAGACGGTGGCGTTGGGTTCACTGCTCAGCCAGGACGGCTTCTCCTCCCCGGGCAGATCTGAAGGTCGAATAAGAGAAGGCTTTTCTGGAAGGGGGACCAGGGTTAGAAAATAGAGGACTTCAGTTCCGTTAGCCTCCTACCCTGGGAAGTTGTGATAAAGGGGGAGAGGAAAGAGGAGAGAGAATTCAGACAAGAAGAAAAACACATGGTCAGAGTTGAAGAGTTCTTAGGACTTAGAAACCAAGACAAACCCTTCGAAAGGCACAGCTTGGTTTTGTCCAGATGCCACACTGCGCCTTGCCCTGGGAACCCCCCTTCCCACCTCGGCCTCCTGCCCTGCGCCCCAGCAGGCAGCGCTGCCACTGTCGACTGTCGCTGCTGGGGCAGATCCCTCCGCGGCTTTGCTCGGGTGCCACCCTGGCCTCGGATTCTGAGGAAGAGATTCTAGCCCGAAGCAGACGCCCTGGGGGAGAGAGGCTGACGCTCTCGGAGAGGGAGCAGCCCTGGGCAACCCGCTTCGCGTCCCTCCCAGAAGTGCTGCGTGGTGTGCGTGTGGCGTGGACGACACAGGTGTACTGAGATCTTACATGTGGTTTTATTTCTTTATTCCTGCAGCATTTAGAATTTTCAGAACAGAAGGCTCTACTCAAATCACTAACATCCAAAACACAAATAATTAAAGAATAATACACTTTATGGCAGATAATATGAATTGACCTGGTTTGCTTGGCAGGCAGTGAAAAAAAGTTTTTTTCCCTTGCAGATGGAAGGTTTGAGAATTGATACTTATATTAAAAATGTGTAATTAATTATGGAATTGGCAGATCTATTTCCTAAATTTCCTCTTTAACTAAATTCCCTGTTTAACTTCCTAAAGTTTTTATCCTAAGTCCCTTCAAGTAATTTTTTGCAGTTAAATCATATTTTAGTTTCTTTTTTTTAAAAAAAGATTTTATTTATTTATTTTTAGAGAGAGGAGGGAGGCAGAAAGAAAGGGAGAGAAACATCAGTGTAAGAGAGAAACATTGGTCGGTCGCCTCCCGCAAGTGTCCCAACTGGGAACCAAACACACAACCCAAGCATGTGCCCTGACCGGGAATTGAACCAGTGAACCTTCACCTTGTGGGATGAGGCCCAACTAACTGAGCCACACCAGTCAGGGAGTATTTTAGTTTCTTAATAGCAACAACAACAAAAAAAAACTTGGTTGATTGTTTTCATAAACATGTACTTGAATCCACTCTGACCCAGATTTCTATGTGAGGTTAAATTAAAATCCCATAGAAATCTTATCCAGAGAGTCTAAATATATACTAGAAGCTTCAGGAAGGCCCTGGCTGGGGTGGCTCAGTGGATTGAGTGCCTGCCTGCAAACCAGAGTCGCTGGTTTGATTCCCATTCGGGGCACAAGCCTGGGTTGCAGGCCAGGTCCCCAGCTGGGGTCGTACAAGAGGCAACCACACATTGACATTTCTCTCCCTCCCTTTCCCTCTCTCTAAAAATAAATTAAAAAGATCTTTTTTAAGAAAAAGCTTCAGGATGGAGCAACTATTCCAAAAGTTATCTTTGAGAGGGTTGATTATAACCAGTTCCATGAAAGCCTTGGCCTAGCTTTACAATGAAATTTGAAACGTTTCAGAAAATTTCCCCACAATGAAAACATTTATTAGTAACTGAGACCCTCGTGATAAAGTTTCTGCTTTTAAGAAAGGCCAACTGAGATTGTTTTTCAAGTATCAGAAAAGAGCTTAGTAATGTAATGCTCTATTCAGGAGTCCTCCTGGAAGCACGTTTATGTCCCTTAACATGTGGCCTTGGGTAGTTTCTCTAGGGACGGAGGCCTGTGCGTCTGAGCTGTCCAGGAGACTTCAGATCCAGTGTTTAGTCTGCTGGGCTGTGGCTCTGACTCACACACACGTGTATGGTATTGCATGTCATGACTGAACTTTTGAATGTCAAAAATAGTTGTCTGAGCCCAAGAAGTGATGAAATCGCTGCGTGGCATTTAAAACCCACAATATGTATGAAATGGGACCAGGGGTGCTGTGCGTAGAGAAGGGGGTTGCTAAGTGACATTAAATGATCCTTGTATTATCTTGTAAAGGGGACCTTCTCTTCTTCCTCTTCAGCTTTCAGCTTTGTGTGCTCACCTTCTGCCAGCCCTTCACAAAAGTCGAAGTTGAGGTAAGTCATTCAAAACGTAGCTGTGGGACTTGCCATTTGGCCTTTCCTTTCATTCTGAATTCCTTGTCTAGAGGGATGTGCAAAGGCTGGACGTTAAACGCACCCTCTTTAAAATAACCCCTGTTTACAAATCGTGGACCTAAACCCAGGCGATCAGGTCTAGCCCTTAGCATCGTATCAGGAAACTCCTCTAACATCTGGGAATCTCCAGCATGTAACCCGCGTGGCTGCTCAGATTGACGTCACCATTTCTGCGTTTTTATTCCTTCCAATGCTGACCGCTGCCCAGGTGCCTTCACGTCCCGACAGCAGGAGCTGCAGAGGCTGGGAGCCCACAGCTCCGTGAGGACTAGTGGGTTCCGTGAGAGCCAAGAGGTGCTGCCCGGGGCAGGGGAGGCGCGGGGCTCAGAAGCCCGAGGAGGCCCTGGCTGCCTACCAGCCCGCCGCGTCGTTCACAGGACAGTCTTCCGGTTCGAGCTGCAGCGGCGGACGGGGGGTCGGGGAGTAATGAGATCATTCTGGACGTTCTGGCCGCATTTTCAAGACTCAGCCTTGTTTCCAGAACTATTCTTAGTTTCTAGGAATGATATGGAATGGACCCCTGAATTCAGAATCTGGTTGGTTTCAGAGACTCTCGGGTAGCCTGTGAGGAGAGAGGGTCACATATATACACCTACATATCTGAATTTCCTCTAAATTTACCCCTTCTCCCGCTAAAATGAGATCTAGCAACATGTAGAGAGGCACATGGAACTGTTCTTTCTTCAGAGCACATGTGCGCGTGGTCAAATTGGGTTACAACAGAGGCTTACACATTGCTCATTTTTTTTACCCTGACCACTATTACTCCATTTCCTTTCTGTGTCATGGCTGGCTTTCTTTTTCCTTCCTTCCTCCCTCCCTTCCCTCCTTCCTCCCTTCCTTCCTTCCTTCCTTCCTTCCTTCCTTCCTTCCTTCCTTCCTTCCTCCCTTCCTTCCTTTCTTCCTTCCTCCCTTCCTTCCTTTCTTCCTTCCTCCCTTCCTTCCTTTCTTCCCTCCCTCCCTTCCTTCCTTTCTTCCTTCCCTCCCTCCCTCCCTTCCTTCCTTCCTTCCTTCCTTCCTTCTCTTTTCCTCCTCCTTCCTGGCCCTGCATCTCCTCCTCCTCCCTCTACAAGTCACTCTGTTTGCATTCTCTGATCAGTTCTAAGACGTGTTGGATAGTATTTTCTAGCAAAGAAAAAAAAAAAGAATGTGTCCTTTGTTCAACAACTGCACAAACAAAATGGCTTTTGACCAGTTAAAAAAAAATACCTGAATTGGTAGGGATTTATTCGATGTATTTGCATTGTAGTACCTGGCAAGGAGATGGGAATTTGTGGACTTCAAATGTTGACGTCTTACTTTAATTGTTTGTATTTTAGATTTATGATGTTGCCTTTCATCCAGGCGCCTCCTAACAACTTTATGACTTTTGAATGTTTTTATTTCCCACTGCTTAGAGGTAGCTGTGTCTCAGCAGCCCTTCGGGCACTAAGCATGCCCGCCAGGCGCTGGCTCAGGATGGCCAGGGCTTCACCCTCTCTCTGAGGTGCCAGCTTGCGCTGCCCCGCACGTAGCTTAGCTAGAAGTCTCAGTTCATGTAGCTGCACCAATTTCAGGTGTCTTGATTGTTCAGAGACACCCTTCTCTCTCCTTTTCCTTTAAAATGGATGGAAATCCCATGCATTATTATTTTTTTAAAATCCTCATCTGAGCGTGTTTATTGATTTGAGAGAGAAGCATTGATCAGTTGCGTCCCATACGCGCCGCGCCAGGGACCCAACTTGCAGCCTAGATGTGTGGCCTGGCTGGGAGTCAAGCCCGCAACCCTTTGGTATACGGGATGACGCTCCCGCGACTGAACCACTCGGCCAGGGCCTACATCTTATTTTTAACAGATGTTTTTAGAACTTCTCCTTGACTATTAATCAGGTAAACCTAATGCAGGATGTGTCTTTCAAGAACATGGCATTAGTTTTATGGTTCTTAAAATGAACTTCGAGTGGATTGTTCAAGTGTCCTTTTAGACACTTGGCTCTTGTGAGTCACAGGTCATCTTCAGGACGCTGAATCCTCTATTTATTAGTTCCACAGGTCTTCCCTCATTAATGATGATTGCCAAACTTGTTAATTACAGACATCACGGAATACCTAGAGAATGTAATATTGAGGAATATGTCCTTGCCTCCTCTTTCCTTCCTTCTCTGCTTCTCCAACACAAAGGCTTGTTTTCGAAAAGCTTGTTATTTTCTTGACTGTCGGATCTTAAAAATACAGGTCTGGCACAAGTAACGCCCCTTTTTATTACAAAATCATAAGCATGTAATTCTGTAACCTAGCAATATCACACGCAAGCACACCATGTGATATTTTAGGTGAAGTGTTCATATTAAAACTATAGATTACGACGCCCCCATTATTACCCTAGCAATGACACCCAAGCAGGCATTACTTCTGTTGGCTCCTGTGCAATGAGCTGCAAACCTCCCCCCTTGTGTAACTGGCCTTCTGGCTTCCTTGCTGAAGGATGCCCCGGGTGTCTACGGAACGGTTCTGCTGAAAGTCACTCTTTGAATGAGAACGTGGCCTGGTGGCAGTGCCCCACGTCCCCAACGGCTCCCTTTGCTGGCCAGCTCTGTCATGAGCGTGCCTTACTAAGTAAGCATCTGGCTTAGGAGCCTGGGCAATATGCTGGTAGGACACATTCCCAAATAGGACATCAGTTAAGAGCCTGCTAGTTTATCTCATGAGAGAGGGTACAGGCAAAGTCAGACTGTCGGACACTATGTGGCCAGCAGCTGGTTTCTGACTGGGAGCCTGGCGTTCCCATTGACTGTAGTTTTCTACAGTCTTCTTCTTTGGAAGCCATATCTCAGTTTGAATTCCAAGCACGTGAACTTTAAAGCCACCCATTGTATTATAAATACAGCAAGGTGTTTTGTCTGTAGACATACGGACAGATTCTGCTTTAGGAAAATTTTTTTGCTGAGCTTATGATGAGCTTCTGGCAGCTAACAGTAGACCTGCAATGGTGAGTGAGTTGTTGTCTTGCATCACAGAAAGGGTTTTTTTGCTTCATTTAAAAAAGTTGTCTGATTTAGGAAAGGATGGCAATTAATAATGAGTATAGGGATCAACCCTCATTATTTATGCCACTTTTGAAATCTCCAAAGAGCTAATTACTTAGGGATGCTTCAGATACATTTATGTAGTTTATTTCAATATCCAAATACACTAAAATGATTTGTAGTTTGGAATCTGAAATGGGCCTCCTGGAGAAACTTTCACACACAAATATGTACACGCGCGCACGCACACCACAAATGTACTTGTTCTAACAAAGCTGCCTTCCTCCAGAACTTGGTCAAATTCTGCAGGTGGTAAGTAGGAGCGGTAGAGAAATGGGGTGTTTCAAGAAGGGTGTGAGCAGGGGTTTTCATTTCATTGCTCCTATGACCCACCAACCTGCTTGAGCGAATTACTTTACCTCTCTAAGCCTGTGTTGTCACTGGTAAAATGAGGCTAACACATTATTTTATGGGGCTGTTAGGATTTAATAAGGCTATTTCTGTGTTGGCATATGGCTTGGGTTCAGTAAGCATTAACTTTTATTTCCCTTATCATGTCGAGTTTTCTGCTCTTTCAGAAAGGAAGCAGCACTTTTCGTTCCTAAGTACCTCCCTTGTTTTGCATTTTTCTCTTCGTGAAAACTTAAGAGAAGAACCAGCATTGCACGTGTGTTAAGACTGACCTGTTAAAGTTTTCTGTTTCTTGGGAAAAGATAAGATTGTGTAGTATCATCACTCATCAGCCTCTCTCCTTCTCATAATCATATATTTAGGAGGTGGGAATGTGCTTGATGTGGTCAGGAAACAATGAATAAACCGGTTCTGCTGGGCCTGAGTGTTCGTATAAAGACTCTGGATGACAGATGGCCTTAAATCAGGCTGAGGGATCTGACTGTATCTTGCGTGCAGTCTGAGGCCCAGGAGAAGGGAGGAGGCTCTGGGAACAAAGGTGCAAACAGGAGGTCTCGGTATGGGAAACACATTCACCCATCAGCCTCCTCCTCTGCTGGGACAGGGCGATGCAGTCCAGTCGGCAGGTGGGGCCCGGCCGGTGGTGGAGGGAGCAGGGACGGGGCTGTGGAGTCGATCCCAGGGGAAGGGAAGGAAATGCCAGTCCCCATGGGCTGCTGTAGGGGTGGAAGACGTCCCTCCCCACCTGAGAACTGTAACTGAGTCTATGAAATAAACGGGCAACAAGTTGATTAACAGGGGAAAAGGCATACAAAGTTATTCATTTTAATATGTGCACAGGGGCACCACAGGGAATAAAAACTGAATACCTAAAACGAAGCGGTGAGATTTTTGAGCGCTCATAAACGATCTTCACAGAGGAAGGGGAGGGAGGCTATTGGCTGCTTAGTGGGGAATAAATAACTTCCAGGAAAGACACACGGGCCGAGGAGACGGGGGATGAAGCTGGTCCGGGTATGAGGTCAGGTAGGCCTCTGGCCTGCGCTCCCGTCAGCCTCCCTGTTGAGGACTCTGCATGGGAGCAGGTTTATGACATTGAGCTCCTTTTGGAGGATCTGTTTTCCGGCAGATGACGGGGTTCAGAGAAAGCCTCTCCTTGTATCTGCTACTTCTCATGTGACTTTGGCTCAAAACAATCAACAGACCCGAGTGGCATATTTTAGGGTGGCACGGACTGACCTCCTTCACCGTTATCTCTCTGAAGCTGAAGGTGAAATGCCATCGAGATCGAAAGTGAATCGCAACCCAAGAAGCGTGGCCTGTGTCGGAACAGTAACATGTGGCAGCAGCAGACCAGGAAGGGACAGTAAAGGGCTGCCAGGCAGCCGCGGGATGCGACCCAAGTGACTCGATCCTCGCCCATCGCAAAGACAGGAAGGAAATGGACTCAGTGTTAAGAAAACATGTTTTGCCACACCTGCAAAGATAAAGGAAGATCTTCCGCAAAAAGAAAACAAACCAAGGACGATGTTTATACTTTGGGCAGTGTGGTCGCCTTGGGAAAAGCAGCTTAGTTTCCAAGCAGCTGTGAAGAGCCTGTGGCCGTTCGCGTGGATTTGTAGTAGCCTCAGCCCGTAGGGTGTTTGCTAGCATCTCTCCGTGGTCTCTAGTGGAGTGAGACAGTGGGACCCAAGAGAGGTGACCGAGGGTTTGTCACTGGCACCGGGGGTGTGTGGTAAAAGTGAGAGATTCTATGTGACGGAAGAGCCACATGGAATTGTCTCACTGCCTACGACCAGGGTTGACAGGCAGGTTTTACAGGAGGGGCAGATAGAGAGGGACCGCCAGGCAGGGCCAGGTTAGGGGAGAAGCAAATGCTCACAGGTGACGGGGGAAACCTGGCTGAAGAGCTTGCCAGAGGAGGGGAATGCAGTCGTATGTTCGTTTCCGTGGCTGAAAGAGGCTTGAGAAGAATGTCTGCGACCAGGTGAAGAGGCTGTGAAATCAGGTGTCGGATAGGCCATCTGTGTGGTCACTGGGGATGAGGAGAGGCCGTGAGAACGGAAAGGGCCACTCAGGGCCCTGGAGTCACTGGAGCACATAGGCCTGTCTTAGGGGACAGTGATAGATAGTGGCCATCACGCTCCTCTCTTTTTGGTGCATCTCCCTTCCCAAATAAAGGGTATGTTTATGCTGTGAGCCTTGAGGCATCACACAAAATGGAAATGAGATACAGAGGGCAAGGCCTTATCCACAGAGAGCTAACTTTTTGTGAGCATTTCCTTTGAATTGCTTCTCAGCAGGCCGGCGGCCCACATACGTCACATCCAGACTTCTAATTATTTTTTTTACTCTCATTAGATTTCTTTTACCCCTCATGAATAAAATGCCATGCCGATATAAGAGATATTAAAACTTGTTTTATGGAAAATATTATCTCTACTCAAAGAACCAAGCCCATAGCTCATTGTATTGTGCTTGGTTAACGGTGGAGCTGCAACCTTATTTTTCAGGGTTCAGGATGTGCTACAAATCAAGGGTATTATATAGAAATGGTCATTTGGCCTTTAAAAAAATGAATTGTAGGTCAATTTAAAACTTTATTGTACTACTTTGTTAGAGATTTTACAAACATTGACTTTAATGCCCTGTTTTCTCCCTTGCATTTCATACTAAGCAAATACAAGAGATTTTATTATACTAGAACAGGCTGGAGGGAATTTCTAGAAATATTTATTTGCAGAGTTTGGTGCTCTGGATAGATAAGTGTCGTGGGGCCCCCTGGTGGCTTAGTTTATTTTTCCACCTTAAATAAAACTGGATACCGAACAGAATGCCAGACCCAGAACTGCAGTTGGAAGGACCTTGGAGATTATCCACTTACTCTTTTCACTCAACAGGGGAGGGAACAGAGGCCCACAGGCTAAACGACTTCTGGGATCCTGCAGCGGAGCCAAGGCCACGAGCACTATTCCGCAGCAAGCCGCTGTCCCCTGGGGGAGGAGGACGTTACTAGAACAAAGGTGGAGAGTAGAATGACACATAGCAGATTATCGTCTGATTCTGAGCCATTTTCTCTGGGACGCCCCGCTTGCCCCCGCCCTGACCTCTGCATCCTCACACCCTCTGTTCTTGGCCTCAGCATCTCGTGCAGGTGCTCCCTGCTCCTGGCCTCTTCCTCTTTGGCTTACCCACTCCTGGCCACCAAAAGTGCTGCTCGAAAACTTGGACCTGGTCCTGTCGCTCCCTTGCTCCAGCCTCACCTCAGAGTCACTATTGCCCATCGGCTTTTTAACGTGACTAACAAGATTTGAGAACGGGTCCTTGTGAGTCCAAAAGGGGTGTTATTTATACAAATCTCTCTTGTTCTTTCAAATCGTGGCCCTGCCACTTGTGTGTAGCTTTAGCTGTATTGTTTAACCCCTTCTAGCCAATGGAAATGGTAGAACGTGCCTCAAGGGATTGTTAAAAGAGTCAATCTTATGAAGACCCTACCGTAGAGTACTCAGCACACAGTAGGTCCTTCATGGATGGACTTAGCTTGTTGTCATAAATTTCCACCCCAGTTTGTGGGGAGCTCCTGGAGGGCAGGGAATTCATTGCCATGTCTGCAGGGTTGACTGCGGGGCCTGGCACATGGTAGGCACCTAAGCAATATTTATTGAGTGGTAGTGATCCATGGGATCTCGAGCCAGTTGTTTGATCTTTGTGAATCCCAATTCCTTATAACTAAAACCGGGAGGGTCAATGAAATGAAGCACCTAGCACAGGACCTGGTTGGTAGGTATAATTCAATAAACAGTAGCTGTTGGTGAAATCATGTTTATCCTTAAAAAGCCAAGGTCAACTATCAGCTCTCTGTAAAGCCTCTGTGTCTGCTTTTCCCTGCCCACTCCTGGCCAAATTAATCATTTCCTATCTTTTACCCGCCTACTCCAGGAAAGATGGTTTAGTAGGGAAACTAAGGATTTTAGAATCTGGAAGACCTTGGACTGAATCCTGGTCACATGACCTGTAGGACTTTCAATAAGTTAATGAAGCTTTTCAGCGCTTTCTGTGATTGGGGTAATAAGGGTAGTGACACTTGGCACATACTGCGTTGGTCTATCCTATAAAAATATCTCTCTTCTTTAGAACATGAATAGGGTCCTGTTGATCCTGCCTGGTGTACAGTAGGTGCTCAAAAAATATGCCATGACTTAACAATGGCACCGAAGCCTTGTTAATGTCAGAGAACTATTAATAAAAACAGGGACAGTATAAACAAGGCATCACAGAATGTCAACTGAGAAAAAAGTAAAATTTCAATGATACTAAAGCCAAACAAGGCATTAAGGAAAAACTAGAAAACCAAAATTAAGGTTTAAAATAAAAAAGATGGAATGACTAAACAGGCAGTTCCATCAAATGGTAAAAATACGGCTGATTGGAGACTGGATGGAGAAGATAAATTATAAAAGAAAAAATCATCATCATCATTATAACATTCTCATGCAAAGGGGAGGGAGTGGTAGAAAATGCCACCCTGACAAGATCTCAGCACCCACAGCTTCCCACCTTCCCGAATTCCAGACGCGGCTCATCGGCTCATCCGTCCTCACCGCAGCCGGGGAAGGGGCGGATCAGAGCCCTCCTTGTAGAGCTGGGGAAACCGTTCAGAAGAGTTAAAGGGCATGCTGGTTAATGCACGGGAAGACCCAGGGCTTGGAGGCAGACCTCGCAAGTCCAAGCTCTCGGTTCCTCCCATTACGCCCTGTTGCTGATGTGCTGGAAGGGTAGAATCGACGGGGTGATGGGTAACCTATCAATGAATGACTTTAGCATTTAATGTCTGAGTCCCACCAGTCCCTCTCAAAAGGTGTTTTTATCTTTCAGTTTTTGCCTGTCCAAGCACCAAGTGATGAAGAAAAAAGAGACCCTGTCCTTTTTGCTGGTAGAGTCCGGAATTTGATGGCCCAGTAAGTGTCTGCCTGTGCTTATAATTAGTAGATAGTGGGAACATTATTAGTAAATGACATTTAATATAATTCTGAGGATTTGGCTGTCTTCTCCTTAAGGTCCTCACGCTAGCCAAAGCGACTGGTTTAAAAAGTAGGAACTCCTTTTCCATTTACTGCTGTTTGTGGGCCGATGCAGGCCTCCTGAAAAATCATTAGCTTTTTTAAAAAAGTTGAATGTCACTTTGCCTTTGAATGCCTTCAGAGCGCTGGGAATTCCAATGACTGAGCACACGTACGAAGACTGCAGGCTGATGATTTCAGCGGGACAGCTCACGCTGCCTATGGAAACCGGGTTGGTGGAGTTTACCAAAATTAGCCGGAAATTGAAGTAAGTATATTTTAAAATTGCTAGACTTCCATAAAGGTGTCCAAAAGAGGTCTACATTCCTGTATGTTTATTTTTTCTAGTTCCAATAAAGCTCAGCTCTGGTGTTTATCAGGGAAGCCAGGGCGGTGAACTCATCTTCCCTTTAGTTCCCCTCGTTTTGTTTTTTCAAGAGCAGTGAATTCAAAAATACACGAGTCGGTCAGAGGAGAGCAGGAGACAGCAAGCGGGGGAGCCCCGCCTCCGTATCCCGACGCGGCTGAGCAGCTAGTTAGTCTCACCCCCTTTCACCCAGAGGCGAGCGTCGTGAGATGACAGTGGCTTGCGGTGGCCAGGACTTCTCTTCTGGAGCAGGAATTGACTTGTAGAGTAGCAATTCCGACCATTACTGAATTTTAAATACTTACTCAAGATCGACCTTTTTCTCCTGGGTACTTAATGTTTTATAAAAGGGCAAAAAACGCCCCTTTGTGTTTCTGTGCTTTAATTTAAACCATTTAGAACATTCCTTTTGAACTCTCTGGCACGAAAGCCGTAACCCCCAAGTCCTCTGTTGCTACCTTTCATTCCATTCTTATCCCTAGTGGGGATTTGTAGAACTTACTGATTTAATAGACACTGGCAGCCCTCCGGGAGGGCGCTGCAGCACCAGCTACTGTATTAAAGCCCAATATTCACAAATCATATTTTGATAACTGAGAGAGCAAATAGTATCTATATTTTTAAGATAACAGAATGTTTTGATATTACACTCACAATTTGAAAAGTTTAGATGGTTGCCGAGATTGGATACCGGAGAAGTATGTGTTACGTCACCTGTTTATAATATAAAGGAAGGATGTGACCGGTCAAATAAATACATGGTGACGGAAAGAGTGTGAACTTCGGGGGGTGAGCGCACAATGCAGCATGTGTGTGATATGTTACAGAATTGTGCACTTGAAACGAATATGATCCTATTAACCAATGTTACCCAAATAAAATTAAAAAGAAAGAATGTGATCTAAGCTACCATGTATTTTCCAGTATGCATCATCCTGATTTTTTATAACTAATACTGGAGGAAGTGTGCATAGTGCAATGACTCTCCCTAGCCCAACATTTTGTGAAATATGAATTTACCAGCCTAAAAGCTCCTTGTAAATAAAAAAAAAAAAAAGGTATTTTTTAACAACCCAGTAAGTACAATTGACTTGCTAAGTAATGTTTAGATTTAAATGTGATTTCTTATTTTCTTCTCATGAGTCATTTATTGTTCTACTACATTGATCTTCTCAGTTACTCTTCTTTCCCTCAGATATTTGAGAAAATTCCAGTTATGCTAATATCCTGTAAAAAAAAAAAATTAAAAGCCTGGATACATGTTCAATTTGTACATTAAAATACACATTTTATTCTCCTTTTCAAATTCAACACCTAAAATGTTTCCCTTAGACAAGTGAATAAAACAGTCTTCATAAAAATGTCACAAGTGGACCAGAAAGGGCTAAAACCATGTATTTCTAATTCTTTGCTTAGATTAAATTGGGACAGTGTCCGTAAGCATTTGGACGAGTATGCAGCTATTGCAAGTTCCTCAAAAGGAGGAAGAATTGGAATTGAAGAATTTGCTGAGTATCTGAAGCTTCCTGTTTCTGATGTGCTGAGACAACTTTTCGCACTCTTCGACAGGGTATGTTAAAATTTAAACTCTAACATGCAAACGTTTCTGTGTTCTCCGCGGAGTGTAAATCAACATGGCAGGCAACAAAGACTCATTGGGTTGGTGTTAGGAAAAGCTAGTCTGAGCCCATGGTTTAATTGCATGATTTTTTTTCCCCCTTAATAGTAATAATATGTGTGTGTGTATGTGTTTTTTAATGGTTATGATATTGTCTATTTATTTTAAACAGCAGGCCAGAAATAAATATTCTGATAATGTTATCATGTTTGTGATATAGAATCAGGAAGGTTTATGTAACTGGCAAGAATTTATAAATTTATGTCAAAACTCATACATCAGTGACCTGGGTTGTACTAGTCTATTCTGAAGGTTTTGGACTTTCCCCAAGATGTGTGCAAACCAAATAGATCTTATTTTAAAATAACATTTTATAACAAAGGTTTCAATGAAAGCATGGCCATCCCTTTGCCATAATATATTGGGGATACAATTTTCTCCTTATGAATATGTAAGTACATGAACTTAAATAATTGAATTGTCAAAAAGTTTCCCTAGCAAAGTGTATCAAGACTTCAAGTTCTCTGTTTTTTAATTTGTTTTTACTATATAAAATTCACTCTTTGGGTTACAGTTGTACAAGTTCTAGCAAACGCATAGAGAGGCATATAATACCACCACATTCAAGTTGCACAACAGTTACAAAAAGCTATTCTTTTGTAGTCAAGCCCTTCCCCCGCCTTTAACCCCTGACAACAGGATCTACCCTTTTGAGTCTGGCTTCTTTCACTTAGCGTAATGCATCTGAGATTCAGCCAGGCTGTTCATGTATCAATAATCCATTCCCTTTTATTGCTGAGCAGTATTCCACTGTGTGGACATACCCTCCTTGGTTTATCTGTTTCTCAGCTGAGAAACATTTGGTTTGTTTCCAGTTTGGGGCAGTTACACATATCGACGCTCTAAGCATCCACGCATATGTTTTTGTGCAAACGGAGGTTTAGGTAGATACCAAGGATTGTGACCTCTTTCTTTGCCCTAATCTGAGCATGACTTTATTTTGCGCTCATTCCTGAAAGACATTTTTTGTTGTGTAAAGAACACGGAGTTGAGAGCTCTTCCCTTTCAATGGTCCATGAAGGGTGGCCCGGCCGTCTCAGACCTCCAGCTTCCCTGTCTCTCTGGCTGTGCCTTGGGTTTCGACTTTGCTCACCAGCCCTCCTGCTGTGGCGTGTTGTCCACAGGTCGTTGGTTTCTGTGTTCTGATCAGAGTTTCTAATCATAATCAGAAGGAGAGGTAGACTAACCTGGGCTCATTTCATCTCCTCTGGCGCCAGCAGCCCCAGTCCTCTAGTAGCCACTGGAAAAAGATATTTTGCAAAGAAACTGTAGCTTGAGGACAGAAACCAGGACAGGGCTTTTACTTTTCTTTCCCCAGAGCACCCTAATATTCCTGATGGCTTACTCTGTGATCTCATAAATGAACTATTCTTTAATATCATGAAGTTAAGAAGCTTCTTCTGCCCTGGCTGGTGTGGCTCAGTGGCTTGAGCACCGTCCTGGGGACCGAAAGGTCGCTGGTTTGATTCCCAGTCAGGGCGCATGCCTGGGTTGCAGGCCAGGTCCCCAGTTGGGGGTGTGTGAGGGGCGACCAATTGATGCTTCTCTCCTGCTTTCTCCCTCCTTTCCCCTCTCTCTAAAAATTAATAAATACAATGTTTAAAAAAAAAAACATTTATCTATAGGGAGTACCCAGGCCTTTCTGCTGGACTCGCTTGCATTATACAAATAATCTTACCTTGTCCCTGCAATATCCACTCTTCATCACAGTACTTGATGCTGTGGTACTTCTCTAAAGCGTAACGAAGATTTAAGGGAAAGAAAAGGAAATTATTGGCTGTAAGTGTGCAAGCTGGGAAAACAGGAACTTTCCACTTGTACTATGGCTGGTCTTTCTGAGAGACTTCCATAGTATAGCTCTAGAAACCATGCAAGTAATTCTCAGTAAAGTTTCTATAAATGTGAACTTGGTGACAGGAAGGAAGAAGCGACATACAAATAAGGACAGGAGACAAGGAAGTGGAAAGTGACCTAAAATAGGAACTGAGGGGGAAGTTTAGGCTTCGAGCTCACCAGGATTTTTCATCAAAGTTAAAAATAGCATCTAGAGAGGATGCCCTCTCTTTCAGGTGTCAAACTGTCATAACTGGCATTTGCAGGACCGCTGTGACAGCATTTCTGTCTTAGGGTGATGGATGACACCTGCCACCAGCCTCGGCGTTGCTGTAGCCCTAAGTGTGGGGAGATTTGGGAGTGGGGATGGGCGTGTGAACCAAGGATTAAAATAACCCCGGTCAGCCAGACTGACTCACTCTGAACGCGAGACCCTGACAGCCTCCAGGGGAGAGGCGACAGGTGAGCCTCGGGAGCCGACGTGCCCGACCACATGTCAGCGCGTGTCAGTTACACCTGTGACTTCTCTTCCCTTCTTTGTGTGGTGGCACTTGGCTTCTTTAGAGAGAGACCACGAACTGGTCTTTATAGCACTTTTCTTTTGACCTCCAACATACTGGAAGGTAGAGAAAATAGTCCGGAGAATTAATGTTGCACGCGCTTGGCCGTCTTTTCTTTACCCCCTCCCTGCCTCCTTTCTTCCCTTTTTCCTCTCTCTGTCTCTGTTCTCACTCTCTCTCTCTCCCTGCCCCCCTTTTCTGTTGCTAACATACCTGCATGTCTGCACCTGTGCAGACTTGCTCTGTTTTGAGAGGTCCAGTTATGCAACTGGCTGCCACACCCTGTCCCCATACCCACTTCCACGCTGGGGAACGCTCCATGGGAAAGACGAGGAAGTTCAGCAACTTCATAGTTTGTTTCTCTCCCAGTGGCTTATCTCGCTAAACCCAATGCTTAAAGAGGGACCGGGCGGGGTGGGGGGTGGGGGGGCGGAAGGGTGGGAAAGAGAAAGGGTGGGGTGTTCCTGTTGCTCTCCCAGGCACTATCAATTTGTGCCACGGCTCCCAGAAGCCCCTCCCGTGTTCCTTCCTACTTTATTGCCCTTTCCCCCTTCTTATTTTCCGCTCCAGTTTTCCCCACATCTCACGGAGTTGTGGTTGCCGTTTTGGGGGCAGAGAACAGACCTGAGTATCTCTCCACATGCCCCGACTCCTTCTCCCCGCGTCCATTCTTGGCGAGTCTACAAAAACGTCATAATGGCTTTTGTCTTAATTTGCCCTAAAAAATATGCTGTCTGTTTAGCTCCTTCTGATATTCTGACCTGTTTTTTCAGATTCTCAGATATTTAATGGCAGATATTTAATCCAAGAGAAAGGTAGCCTTCATGGTCCAAAGCGGGGTGCAGTCATGGCTTTGGGATGTGCTTTGCTTTGGAGAGGTCCCCTCTCTTTGAGAAAAAAGACCGTTTTCATTGTTAGGTTTCAGTTAGCGTCTTTATTTTCATGAATGGATACTGAACTTCCTGGAGTCAGAGAATGATTTGGGGTTGGTCAAATGTCTGGATGTCTGGCACTGAGGGTGGAGACACGAGTTTAGAACAGTGTCTTCTCCCCATTTTCTGGATTCATAGTTCAGTCTGTAAGACAGTTGCCTTCTCAGTGATAACCGCATCTTGTGATGCCCATCACAGCGTCAGCACTCATTCTGCCCTTCTTCGTCACTGTCACTGAGAAAGCCACGTGTGTCCTGCCGACAGTGTCTCACTTACCTGGGAGACCAAGTCCTCGAGGGCTGCAGTGCACCCCTCGTCTTTGCTGCTAGCTCCGCAGTCTGCCTCTTCCTTACCACTTACAAGTAGCCCAGTTATGTCTCTCTTACCCTGTATCTCATGCTGCATCCAGCTAAATGTCCCATTTGATGCGTATATTTGTCTCCCCTGGTGACAAAGTCACATTTCAGGTGCCAGCAGACACTTTCTGTAAAAGAGCCAGATAGTCAATAATTTTGACTTTGCAGGACATATGGTCCCAAACTTTCAGAACAACTTGTGCAGTTGAGTAAAAAAAGTTTGTGATTGCCCCTCAGAACAATTTCCCTGTTTATTTCCAATCACGTAAGCCAAGTAAGCGCCCCACCTGCCGCTTGGCATGAGCAGAAAACCTGCATATCCCAGCAGCCTACCTTCTCTAACAGGAAGGAACAAGCAAGGATACTTGTTATTATTGGTACACATGATTTAACACTTGAACTAAGACCAAGAACAGGGCAGACAGGAAGAACCTGGGATAAAGAAACGCATTCATTCCACACAATGTGAAACGGTAATAAAAGATCCGCAGAAGTTTACAATAGCCACAAATGCTGGATTGTCAAAGTGCTAAAGTGTACTCCCACTCTTCCTGTCTAATATTTAAACAAAGTACCTAGTAAAGCCAGAAGAGCTCAGTGCCAGGTAGAAGGCAGGAATGGGAAAACTCATGCCCGTTTTCAGATTTTTTACAGAATGGAAAAAAGTAACCATCTACATTTTATGCGGCTCTGGTCTCTTATGAGCATAATAGTATTTGGTGGAAGGAGAGAGTGAGCTCATGCCAGACCATAGCTTAGGAATTAGAGGTCAGTCTCCATCACCTATAAATATGAGTGATATTCCACTCGTTAGAACTGTGGGAAGATATTGACAAGAGCAGTCTGGAAAAGGATCCAGAGTAGCCTCCTCTCAGTCCGCTGTGGGGCATCCTACAAACTAGCAGCGGTCATTGCAAGTCCCGACCGCTACCCCTTCCATCCGGTCCTTACACCTCACTGGCAGCCTTTGTTAGCGTCAGCTTCACAGGGGTCAGCAAATTACAATCATGGGCCAAATCTGGTGTGACACTTCTTTTGTTAATAAAGTTTTATCAGGATATCAGGACACTACCATGCCCATTCTGCTAGGTATTTCCTGCAGCTGCTTTATTGCTTACAGTAGCAGAGACGAGTTGTTGCAAAAGACAATGACGTCTTCTCTCCTTTACGTTGCCAATTCAGGTTGGGTATGGAACATAGTATTTATTTCA